ACTCAGCCACCTGCAACCCACGGGGAGACCCTTCTCTTGATGGAATATCAGCAACCGGCAAGGTAGCGTTCACGGCTGTGTTCTATCCAATGTGACCTCATTTGCGTATGCATGTGCTTGTTTGCATTCAACGCAACTGACGCCTGATGTCCGTCCCCTTGCCACAAAAAAGGGCTTCTCTCAGTGGCTGGTATCCATGCAAAAGCGCCGTAGGCATAAAGATGTTGTCCATGCAAGTGTCCATCATGCCCAAATGCCAAACGGTAAGCACGTCCCACAAGGAAGGTACCTCTTGCAAGACTCGGGTAGCCTAACGAAAGCACACCTAGGATTCTGCCGGGAGTCATTTGAGCCAGTACCTCTCTTGCGGGTTGCCCAAAAAGTCGGGAAGGAGATTCATGACGCAGTTGTAGATAGCACATAGTGTGTGTGCCTGGAAGAAACTTCCTCATGCTTTGTTCAACTGGTTTGATCATTTGTCTCGTTGCATGATGCTTCAAATGCGTCGGGCCCCGAATGCTTAAAGGTCAGGACAGGCGAAACTTTTTAGAGAAACCCTTGGTTTCGAAAAGGTCAAGCCCCAACGTTTCATCCCCAAATACAGCATGAGGCGATACATGTATACACAGCCATTGAACTTCGACAGGATGCAACCATCGAAATAACATGTGCATCAGGCGCAAAAGGCACGCCTTTGGCGGTGCAATTGGCGCCATGCAATTCCAAAAATGCCTTTGACTCTGAGCACGTATCTGGTTCGTAACAAACATCGTGAAGGTACAAGTCACCCACGGTGGAGATCACAAATGCCGAAGCCACCGTGCTACAGAGATGTATAACGCGTACAGAACTGGCAACCTGGTCGACAGGTTGATCAGATGCGTTTCTCGTCGCGTTGTTCAGCCGCATAGCTCCGGCGTCTGCTCACCAGTCCTACTCCTTCCTGGCAATGGCAATGGTGGCCAATGGTGCAAACGTCCTGTTGTGTCGTCGAGGGGACCCGTTTCGTACGGTGCTGTGTTTCAACGCTTCAAAGGGCCAGGGATACCCATCTGATGTGTGTGTGTGTGTTGTGTGCTGGTGATTCCATGTCCCTGCGTAGTAGGTAACCAATTCAACCACCCTTTTAAAGCAGAAGTAAAATGGTAATGGGCAAACTTCCCAGCCACATATCCGCCACTTCAGATTTGCGCGACGGATGATTTGTCATTTGGCTGCTTAAGCTGCAAGAAGAGGTCGGGCACTCCAAAAACCCTGTTCCTTTTGGGAAGCTACTACAAAGCTTTTCAATCCCAAGACAAGCATTGACGATTGCCTTTGAGAACATTTTAACCAAACACATGTTGGAGGAATCTCCTTTTGAGGGGGCCACTGTTTAGCTTCCATCTTAATGTAAAAGTAAATGTGCCTTTTTTGGAAGGATCAAAGATTGCAGCTTCGTGGCCGTGACCATGCAAAAGGTTTGCCGTCCAGCGTGTATGGACTATTGAAGCCGCTCAGCGATTTTGTCCTTCTGCTCGCAGCACCTTTTTCCGCGCGAATGGTGCGTGGGCGTGTCAAGGATCGGGGCATCTTCCGATGGGCACAGGCTGGCCTGCGCAGCGGGCGCTTGGCGCTAGTTTCCCCAACCAAAACCCATTTGAGGTCCGTTAGAAGCCACTCCAAGTGCAGGATTAAGGGGATGATCCCAAGCCAAACCTTCTTGTGGGTCGGCGTTGACCATTGCGGCTTGAGAGTATCGTTTTATGGGTGGTTTGTCTGGTTGAACGCAGATCACAGTCGCAACTGCCTCCCACCCTTTAGCCCGGCACCTGAGGACAGTGCCAGCTACCTGCTTGATCTTGAAGCCGTGACAATCTTCCCCCTGGAAATAGCAGCCTTTCAGTAAACCAACCCAGCCCTGGTCAGTGACAATAGCTCCAGGATGTGTGTGTGTGTGTGCGCGCGGGTGAGTGGCTGCATGTGCTGTTACAACTTCACCATGGCAGCTGGTGACAAAGAACTGGCTTCATCATCCACTTGGGCTACAAGAGGGACCCAAAGCTCCATCTTGATTGGTTTCACCAAATGCTGACAGGGTCATGCTGTCAGTTCGAACTTGGTGGTATAGCGAATGGTGAATACTGTATCTTGGGGCTTCTTTCTGGCCATTCATCCCAACCGCTTAAGAAGACCCAACCGAAACACCCACACACACCGACGAGGCAACAACTCAATTTCATGCTACTGCTCGGGGGCCACCTGCATGCAGAATGTCGGCACATGATTAAAGATGCTCAGTTCTCCCGGCCGACTCCCAGCCAATACTTTCAAGGCACCCGCAAGGATTGGCCAAGACACCCCTCTTACTGTTTTGGGGGCACCCGCAAAAACCACCTCTCATTAAAGACGTCCCTTTCCGGCCCAAAAGTCAAACACAAACAAACAAAACATGATTGAATTACCAAAGCTATTGCCAAGACTTTTGCCAATACTAAATCCTATCATAGTGTCAAGACTTGCCATTCCAGCAATTTAAAGACACCGCAACTATGTTACGACTGTTAAAAGAACACAACAAGGTTTGACAAGCTCGAAAAGGCTGGCCCTCGAATCCACGAACCCCCCCTGTGACCAATCCTGGCCCTCTCCAGCCCTGGAAAATAACAAGTGCAACTTCCTGTTACTTTCCTATTGCGGTCCTATTGGCCAGGCTGGTTCACACAGGCAAGGACCGCATAGACTCATTCGAGGGGGCCAAGTCGACCCTCCGAAATCCAGCTTTCCAAAACCTTGTCGACCTTCACAGCGGGGGGGGGGAGTGGTGGTTTGTCAATCAGGTTCCCCCATTGCGGAACAAGGATGAACCCTTTCCATGTAAACTATCACGCTGTTCTGCATGCAAGAGTCGCAGAGACAAGCTCGACATCTCTGCTTGTGATGTTTCTAAAGACTAATGTAACTGCGAACACCAAATAAACTGAGCAGGGACTCTTTGCAAAAGAGCTGCTTTCTAAATGTGTTGACTTGGACCGTTTTTAAACACCCCCTGAGTTATTCAGGGAATGCACAGGGCAAACCCCTAATGTAATGATTGGCAGTGCTAAAGACATATCTTGCCAGCATCCACCCCAACTAAAACAATGTGCTTCACAAGCTCAGCCGGACCCAAATCACAGAATCCTCCAAGTGCATTTCAAGATTACCTGGTAAAGGATGGAAAAGGGCCACTTGACATTTCAAGGGCCACTGGCCCTGACCGGAAAAATAGCATTCTTCTCCTCTTCCCTACCTGCAGCATGTGTACATAAATGTGTTAGAGCCCCCTGAACAACACCTGCCCCAAACCACAGAAGCGGTGAGTGAGGGGACAGCCCCGGCTCTGCTGGCCTCGTCGCTGTGCAGAACGCGATCCCCGATGGCCTTGTGCGACAAGGCCGGCGCCTTAGAGCCCGGCGAAGTGCGGATCTTCGCAGCCGCCCACGAGACTTGGCCACAAACAAGCAAAACGTGATGAACATCAAGGCCCATGCCCTGACTCCATGCGCTGACAAGCCAACAAGCCTTTGCTTGAAGCATTCAGAATCACCCACATCTCGGGATTAACCCGATACTCTTCGTGATTTGTTCACATAGTCAGCCTGAATTCGAGAGCCCTCTAAGGGACCTTCATCACGTGAGCTCGGCTTACCCCGATGTGATCTCTCCAAAATGCGTATTTCAGAAAACTCTGTAGTTTTGGGAAGCAGTTCCCGGAAATATGCATTGTTGCTCGCAAATATACATTTTTGGGCTGGAATCTCGGGCGCAAACGCATTTGGTTGGAGCTTTGGAAAGTAGTCTCCTCGGAAATATGCATTGTTCCTTGCAAATATGCATGCTTTTGGGCGGGATCCCCGGCGCACAGTCTAGCTAGTTCAGCCACATACCACTAGTGCAAATGATCCATTGAGGTCGCCTCCTCTTCCCCAAGAAGCCAAGGAATCGCCTTCTCTCAGCTCCTCATGCCATCCGAAATTGCCATGTGCAACAGGGGCCCACATTGACAGCTACACTACCACAGCCTCTGCCACCCCGCCCAACAAGAAAACAACTCAACATGTAAACCAGGTCAAAAGGTCGGTTTTAGGTGTCTCCCCCAAACATGTACCTGGCCAAAACCGCCAAACTTGCTGAACCCGGTTTCTCCAAACCTGTCCCAAAAAAATGGATCCAGGAAAAGGGAACAATCATTCACTCTGGGTGGTGGGGGGGGAGAAAGAGCAGAAACGGCGAAAGTTGCAACTGGGTTCTGGAAACAATGTACGAATGTCTTGGCAAAAAGGAATGGAGAAACAAGCGAACAAAACAAGTGAGAATCAAACTCTGGGCAATGCGACTGAACAAAACAGTCATGGTTGGGCGAGGTCAGTGACTCCCCGTGGGTGTCGTTGGACAGTCAGTGAGTTCCCGCATGTCCCTCCCACATTGACCACAAATGGTACGTGGAAACCTTCCGTATTCGCGGTTGTTTTGATGGTTTGTGGTACATTAGCTGCCCCCCCTTGTTTGCTCGTGGCTGAGAGGCAACAAACAGACTACCAAAGCATCATTGGAGTCCTCCATTGAAGCGGTCAGGACCTCCATAGGAAAGTTTTGCACCTCAAAACGGCCCCTTGAAAACCCAAGATGCTTTGGATAGTCTATCCCAAACTCGGGCAGATCAAATCTGCAGTCCCGTCGCAGACCCCCGGCCAAAAGCTGCCAGCCGGGACCGGACGGCGAACTGCGCCTGCCGGACGAGGTCATCTAAACTCGACATGGGGCGCTCTGAGTTGCTCTTCCCCTTGGGAGCAAAAGGTCGGTCACCTTTCGTAGGGTTAGTGGAAAAGTCGCTTCTTTTTTCCAAAAGGTCTACAAGCTAAGGTCACACCAGAAACCAGCCATGTCCATTCGCCGGTGTCGTAATGCTGCTGCATAAGCTTGGATGGCTTCCCCCGGCCTTCGTACATGAGATCGTCCAGAAGCCGCGCGAAAGCCGGTCAGCCGCACCGGCGCACGAGATGCCACATCTCCTGGCTTGGGCAAGCGATGGTTGATGGCACAGGCGGCAAACAAAACGGGTCACTCCAAGGTGGGCCATCCCCATGAGCACTTTACAATTTGGACCGAATTTCTCTTGTCATTGCCCTCATATCCAATCTCAGATAATAAAACCACCCTCTGCCTCCTAATGATGAGCATTCCTCTGGCAAAAGGGACACGTTTGATACTTGGGGGTCCTGGTTCCAGGTTTGAGTTGCACATGTCCGGTCTAGGTGCCTTTTTTGCCATGTAGGTGGAGCTTACCAAGCCTAGGTTCTCCAGTAGAGAGGTTAGAATAAGGGTACCCTTTTTTCTGTAGTCTATTTTAGTAGGGAAGCCCTCCCCCAAAAAAGGGGTTAAGAATGGCACTACTGGGGGACCTAGAAGCGCAACACCAGTGCCTGGCTTCGACTGGCCCACCAAAGTCTCCTGTAGAGAGCGGAAGGATGCCACGTGGCTGCAGTTCCGGAGCGCTGCCTTAACCCCATGGACAAAGGGCAGCGCTTGGATCGAGGCATGGCGCACGTTTGATCTGTGACTAGGTCAATGTGGAAGCGCTCACAGCATTATGTACATCTGTTGTGGTGAGCATGGATGCATGCTGGCACTTTAAGGGACTGGAAAAAGATACCTTCATAAGATAGGATCCAGACGCGATCGTGGTGTAGTTCACCCAACTAATAGTTGTCTTGGCTGTGTTACCGTGGCTGCCGCTCGATTGACATGTAATGCGAAAATGTCGACTTATGATAGTCTCTCAAAATTGCGGACCCTTTCCATTGGCATTTGAAGGAAAGCCAACAGGAAACAAGCATTTTAGAGGAGCCCATTTTCATGAAACACCCTTCTGTTTCCCTCACTAACAATATGCCGCCATCTTATTATGAAACCCTCTCACCCATCCGAACACATGGGGATGTCGCGATGCAAGTCACCCAATTTCAATGGCAGCGTCACAATGCTAGGAGTCCTTTGTTGGGATGGACGGACATGCAATCTGAAGAATAACTGCCATGTGAAAGGTTCCGGGCGGTTCTACATGTTGATACTAAATAGAATGCGTACGAATCCCGAGCAATGTCCTGTTAAACCAAGGAAGGGAGACACCGACAAAGTATGCAATAATTACTACACAACACAATCATGTAGCGAGGGTGTTACACATAAAGTGACCCAATGATGTGTGTGCGTGTGTGTGACAGTTCAATACTGATTCAAAGCCATAGACGAGCCATAGAACTGTTATGACCGTTAACGGTCCTTAATGGCCCCTTATCGCCACTAAGAGTCACTACAAGGTTGCAGTCCCAGTATGCCTCCAAATCAGCAAACGGAACCCCGGCCAATGGAAACATGGACTAAAACGTGCGGTCCCCTGGTTTAATTTTGACCCATATCCATATCCATATATGGCCATGGGTCAAAATCCCGTACCCCCAATGAACATCCCAATCCCCACTAAAATAGACTAAAAATGGGTGGTGCACCTACCCCAAAATGGTACCATTGGTTTTGACCCACAGCCATATCCATATATGCGACAGACCCTGGCCTTCTGTGGGGGCCAGCACGCGCGGGCGCCGCACCCAAAGTGGAGCTCTCCCACGGCGTGGGCGATGGCAGCCGGCCAATTCTGCAGCAGTGGCCACTCACAGCCTGGAAGACACGCCAAGACAAAAACAAAGTACGTGTTGTTCACTGGCGTCAGTACGAAAGAAAACCAAGTAGAGGTGTATTATATATATATATACAGTAAATGTGTATGTTGTGTATATAGTAGTGTGGATATATACATATATAGTATGATATATATGTATATATATATATACACCATGCACCATTTAGATCCTCTTATTCTCCTTTTCTACCCCGTGTATGTCCCATATAGACTGGTGCTCAGAGTTTAAAGGATATAGCCGGGGCACATTCGCGGGCGCACATGGTTCTTTACCTTGACGTAAGGAGCGTGGAGTTAAAACCAAGCTGGGAAATCCAAGGAGATTCCTGTCAACCCCTCCTTCCTCTAAGTCCATCTTTGAGCTGAGTGGTGTTGCATGTGTTCTCCTCAAACTGCAAAATAGCCCCTACCTTGCAAACTACTCCCAACACATGAGCCACGTCCGAAACATGTGACGGCTTCCAGACGTCTTAAAAAACTTGCTTGCGCCGCGCCTTCGCACGCGTTGCGTGACGAAAAAAACAAGAAATAAATAACAAAATGCAGAACAGTTGCGGGAAATGAAGGAAGAAGAAAGCAAGAAAGGAAGAAATGAACGAAAGAAACGAAGAAAGGAATCAATAAAATAAAGAAACAGATGAAGAATGTCAGAACGAGTCAAGAAAGAAAGAAATAAAGAAAGACAAGACTAATCAAGAAATAAACGAACAATGCAATGAAGGAAGAACAACAATCAATCAAGAAAGAAGGAACTAAACAGCAACGCAAGACAGACATAAAGAAACCAAGAAAGAAAGAAAGAAAGCAGCAACAAAGCAAAACAGCCAAGAAAGAAAGGCATAATACGCATAAATCAATCAATCCATAAATACAAGTATATAGATAGAACAAATAATAAGGAAAGAAAGGGAAATGAAGATGTTAAAAAACAAACAACACATAACATACATGCAAAAATAGATAAATCAAAAAAATACACAACAAACAACAAGTAAAACAAACACAATAATGAACACATAACATGAACAAAACAACTACAGGCAGACATCAAACAAACAAACAAACAACTAAATAAGTAAATATTAAATACAACATAAATAACATAACACAAAACAGGAACGGCACAATAACAATATGAATAAGGAACACATAACAACACAAAATTCACGTAAACACACAAGCCACGAATTAAGACATACATAAATAGCGAACGGCGGCGGAAACAAAGCATCCGTGGCCACATCAACAAAGACAAAGAATACACAATTAACACACACACACTGCAAAAAAAAAGGAAAACGATAAAGCAACATTAATAAATAGAGGTCAACCGATAGATAAATCAATACATATATATATATATATTATGTATTGTGTAAATGACACATCAACAACCAAGCAAGCACAAAGTGAAACACGTAACTTATGAAACACACAAATCAATCCATACATAAATGCGGAAAGCCAAACACATCATAAATCAATAACACAATCATAAATAAAGAACAACAGCAAAACACAAAATCAAGAAAGACGGAGATGGATAAACAAAGAGACCACCGCCCCCGTCCCTTTGTCCAAAATCATTAAAAATCAGGGTTGAGAACTTAACCTCTTCTTCTCTGCTACGATTGGAAGGAATTCCTTGCGAATGCTTCTGTCGTCCAGGTCGAACAAAGCAACCTCCTTCCCACAACCCTGACCCATCAAAACCATCCGCACCTATGACTACAAGTCACCAACCTGAATCGTGCAGGCAGAAGCATTAACAGTGAGCTCCTTTTACACCCAGCTTAGAACGCACAACTACCTATGATCTGCAGGGGGGACCACTAATTACCATCTCTCTTGCGGTGTTTGCCAAATTCGGACTCTAGCCCAAATACGGCCCGACTCCGCGACAGGAAGGTGTACAAGTGGGTGGGTGAATTCGCTTCCCAGGTCCAAATGGGATGTGGTTAGTTGAGGGAACCTTTTGCTGGCTTCAAGGGAAACCAAGAGGGAAGTCCAATTTTGGGGGTCCAAACCCCTTTCACATACCTCTTTGACACCCAAATATAACCGTCCCAAAAGGGGGCATGGCCATGGACATATCCGGGGAAGGCCTTCACAGTCCATCTTCAAGAGGTCCACCTGGTCCCAGCCCACACTCCGCAGAATCTCCCCGATGCTCAGCACCGGCACCTCCAAAGAGAACCCCGCAGGAAGAGCTCGCGTAAAGCTGAAACCAAACAGGGTGTGTCAAAAAAAAGGACTTGGACCCCATGGGCTCTGACAAAGACAACCCCAAAAGCGTACGGATGTGCTGAGTAGAGGGTCTAGAAAAAACTCCGCCGTTATGCGTCCCATCTGGGCTTCTTGACTACTTCTGGGCTGTTTAGCAACTCAAGATGCTCATCGAACCTCATACTGTACGCGTTTGTCTGAACGTAGGGGTCAACCCCCCCCAACCAAAACGAAGACATGGTGGGTTTTCAATGATTTCCCCGCAAAACAAACCGTAAAAACTGTACTCTCAAACAAATGTGGTGCTTTCTGGGTTTTAATGACAAGAACAGCAACGCCAACTCCAACACCAACAGCATCGCCACCCGCTCTACCACCACCACCAACACCACCAACACCACCAACACCACCAGCACCAGCACCAGCACCAGCACCAGCACCAGCTCCAGCACCAGCACCAGCACCACCACGACCAACCCAAGGTCGACGTGCTCCAAGCACAGGAAAGCGTAAATAACTCAAAAAATTGCCGTTTCACTGCCAACAAAACATTCTTCAAGGAAGCGCTCTGACCCCCGGAGCGAACTGGCAACAGGCCGATTGAGCACACAGGCCAACCGTGTCAGCTCGTCAAGTGCCGTGTTGAAGCTCGAGTGTTTCTTGTGGTCCGATGCCCACCTTAACGCGAGGGTCTACAGACATCACTGCTGGCTGGGCATGCGGGTCAATCTTGAAGCCTTTGGTGGGCACAATTTGCACGGCCACCAAACACTTTTGCGTGTGCGATAAAGCTCATAGTACTATGTTGCTCAGCAAGGCAAACTACAAGGCCAGTATGCGACAAAACAACCAACTCCACCTGCCTCACGGGCTCCCAAAACGAGCTGACAGGCCATCAACCTTCAGACAGGTGGGAGCTTCCCCGATTCATGCGCCTTGATGAGGCCCTCCGCTCCCGGCGCTCCGGCAAATGTCCGCATAGCTAGGTTCCTCAGGACACAGCATCAAACAAGGGGCTTGGACAGAAGAAGCAACATGCCGCGGAAACAAACACTCCTTAGGGGACATGCGCCACCAGCCTTTGGCAGTAATTGGGGACACATGGGCGTTCGTGAGTGTGTGTGTATGTGTGGGTGTGTGTTGTGTGGGTGTACTTTTTGTTTGTGTGTGTTGCGTTCTTGTGTGTGTGTGTGTTGTGTGTGTGTGTGGGCGCGTGCTGTGTGTGTGTGCATTGTGTGATGTGCGCGTAGTGTGTGTTGTGTGCATGTTGTGTCGTGATTGTGTGTGTGTGCTGTGTGTATGTCGTGTCGCTGTGTGTGTGTTGTGTTTGTGTTGTGTGTGTGTTGTGCTCGCGCGTGTGTGTGTGTGTGTTACGTGTGGGTGTGTGTGTGTGTGTATGTGTGTATGTATGTGTAGATGTGTGTATGTATATTCTATATATATATATACACATGTGTATATGTGTGTGTGGCTGTGTCTGTGTCCGTGTCTGTGTCTGTGTCTGTGTCTGTGTGTTGTGTGTGTGTGCGCGTGTGTATGTGTTATATATGTGTTGTGCAGTTTCACTTGTGCGTTCTGTGTTGTGTGAGTGTGTGTCTGTGCGTCAGTGCGTGCGTGTGTGCGTGCATGCATGCGTGCTTGCTTATTTGTTTCTTTGGTTGTTTGTTTGCTTGTTTGTTTCTGTTTGCTTTTGTTTGCTTGTGTTTGTGTGTTTGTATGTATGTGTGTTTGTGTGTGTGCTTGTTTGATTGAGTAATTGTTTGTTTGTTTGTTTGTTTGTTTGCTTTGTTTTGTTTGTTTGCTTGTTTTCGCAGCTTGTTGCTTTGTTTGTTTGTTTGTTTGTTTGTTTGTTTGTTTGTTTGTTTGTTTGATTGTTTATTTGATTGTTTGTTTCTGTGTTTGTTTGTTTGGTTGATTGTGTGATTGTGTGTGTTTGTTTGATTGTGTGATTGTCTGTGTGTTTGTTTGTGTGCGCTTGTGTGTGTGTGTTTGTTTGTGTGCGCTTGTGTGTGTGTATGATGTCTGTAAGTTTGTGTTTGTTGGTGTCTTTGTTTGTTCGCTTGATTGCTTGCTTGTTCGCTCGCTCGCTTTATTGTTTTTATTTGTGTGTTTGGTTGTTTGTTTGTGTGTGTGTGTGCGTGCAAGTGTCGCACGCTTAGATCCTGTGTGCTTGCTGCTATCGCCACCTGGCCAGGCACGCCGGAGTTTAAGGAAGCAAGCGCTGCCAGCTTACAAACATCCCCCTCATGCGGGGGTTGTCGAAATTATTGTTCCACGGCTTCCTTTTAGGATCCCTTGCGCCCGCCCTTGCGCCTCCTTGCGCCTACTTGTGTTTTTGCTTATGCCGTCATCTTCGTGTGCGAAACACATGGGAAATTAGGTGCTGAATGTGGCTTTTAAGCTGTACCAAAAGGCTCGGGCCACGAAAGGTACATTCGAAGAGAGCACAACCTCCTGGCGAAACCTGCGACAAAACAACGCCCTTCATTCACGTCAGGAACACGTTGTAGGCGCTCGAAGCTGGAGCTGTTTCAGACACCTCTTATCTTTCAGGATTTAAACACTGCTTGGTGCCGGTATTTGAAAAAACGTCTCCCCCGGCTTTTTGCAAACAAGCGCAAACCAAGTAACCAACCAACCAACCCACCAACCAACCAACTGTTCAGGAATAGCCCGTGGGCATTACAAACTGGAGTGTTTCAGACCTATTCAGACACTCTTCTGCGTGCAAGGCAGGCTTTATACAAACAAGTCCTGGCCACAACGCGGGCGCTTGGTCAAATAAGATAGGGGCCGGCAAGAGCTCTGACAGCCTCCGTGGAGCAGGCAAAGCCTGACCAATTGGCAGGGAGCCGGCACGTGCCCTGCTTTTGTGTGGCTTCAAACTGTTTCAGACTGGCTGCGGGCGCCATGCCTAGAAGAAGAAGTAGTAGTAGAAGTAGTAGTAGAAGCAGCAGTAGCAGTAGTAGCAGTAGCAGTAGTAATAATAGGAGAAGTAGTGGTAATAGTAGTAGAAATAATAGTAGTAGTAGTAGTACAAGTAGTAGTAGTAGTAGTAGTAATAATAATCTCCTCCCCCTATTAATGAATGACCCCCATTAATAATAAATGCAAATCCGGGGCCCGAGACCAGATTTCGACTCCGCACAAATTGATGTTCCATTGCGCCAATACTAAACCATTTCTAAAGTCTTGGAATCCTTATTAGGGGGCACTTTTAGCAAGCTTCCAGCCCCACTTTTAAGCTGCGACTGTCTCTCCCTCGTACATGCTGGCTAACATGCCTGGCTGCAAACAAACAACCAGTAAACTGAAAAACAAAGAGAATGATACATAAATTTTCCTTATTAAACCGCTTACTCGCGGAGCTTACAATTCAATCCATTTCCTCCAAATCCTATGTGAACCCTCACATTGTTGGAAAAGCAAAAACACGCAACCCCAAAAACCCCAATTAAAAATAAATATATATTTTTGGAGGACTTATTTATAATAGGGGAGGGGGGGGCGTATTTATTAATAGGGGGAAGAGATTAAGCACTAGTACTAGATAGCAGTAGTAGTAATAGTAGTAGTACTACTACTAGATAGCAGTAGAAGCAGTAGCAGTAGTAGCAGTAGTAGCAGTAGTAGTAGTCGTCGTAGTAGTAGTAATAATAAGAAAGCACGTTAGTAGCGGCGGAAGCACAGGTCCCAGACCTACTTAGTACCACCCAAATACATACGTCCCGCCTGGAAGATGCGTGCGCCCGTTTGTGTGTTTTCAGACTGTTTCAGACTGGCTGTTCAAGCCTTGCCTAGAATGCGGCCTTGTGAGACAGCTTGCGCTCGAAACCTGTTGGCCTTGGCAACTGGTGTGCTGAAGTGATGAAGGTGCTACTAATATTCCTGATTACACAGCTGAAAATTGACGCGTTGCCATGAGTCCAGTTATTGTCCTTCGTGCCTCAACGCGCGGCGCCGCCGCGCGGTCGCCTCGCGCGCGGTCGGGGCGTTATAGCAGTATAGTAGTAGCAGCAGCAGAAGCAGTAGTTTGCAATACTTTTAATCATAATACCGCGTAGTAGTAGTGATACTAGTATTAGTAGTAGTAGTAGTAGCAGCAGTAGTAATAGTAGTAGCAGTCGTAGTAGTAGTAGTAGTAGCAGTCGTAGTAGTAGTAGTGGTAGTAGTAGTAGTAGTAGTAGTAGTAGTGGTAGTAGTAGTAGTAGTAGTAGTAGTAGTAGTAGTAGTAGTAGGTAGTAGTAGTAGTAGAAGTAGTACTAGTAGTGGCAGCACTTGCGCCCGCCCTTGCGCCTTCTTGCGCCTCCGTCGTGTTTTCATAAGTCTGGGGTGAGATTTCTTTTATCTACATTCCGCTATAGACTAAATACAAGAGACTGGGTTTTCTGACGACCCTCATGTGGCCCCGAGCATCGGTCCTTGACTGGGCTCACGGTTTCTCTTAGCCCCCTCCCCACCCACCACACACTTGGCTTCGTGTTGGAATAGCACCACCGCGCTACATCTACGTTGATGTCGACTGATTCTGGACATCCTGTGCATGCACATCACTCAAAGCCCAAGCGCATGCAGGTGTTCACCGGCGCGCCGACCCAGGGCTGCTTGCCTCGGATCGAAATTCGAAACTTCCCACGCGCCCCCGGCGAAGGATAGCAACGCAGGTGAGACCGAGATAGTTGTACTAATGTTCCATGCTGACCGATGCCAAATGCTGAAAAGCAAGAAAGGCACTTTCAGGGCTGAAAGGCCGCTCTCTGAATTCGAATTTACCCAAGTAAGGCTTCAAGGGCTAAGAGCCTGTCCCACTTGGCAAAGGCTCGGTCCTTTGCTCTAGCTCGTGGGACAACTTACACGCGTGAGTTGGCTCTTAAATGTGCGCATGTGCTGAGCATGCCACCTGGTGTGTTGCTACAAAGGAAATGGCCTGGTTGGAGCGCTTCAAGCATTGCTTGTTGGTGCGTCAGTCGACGGAGCGGGCATGTATAACGTTTGAATGTTTTGGGTGTTGTCAGAGGGATGTCAAGTCCGAGGCCACATTTCACATCATGGATGTTGCGGGAGGTGTAGAGTGTGAAGGGTGCATCTTTGGTTGTTGGCGCGTTGCGAGAGGGAAGTGCAGCTGGACAGCTTGGTGGTGAAGTGCCAACACGGGTTGAGACACTGGCGAGGGCTGCAGCCCCTGGATTCGCAGAGGGACTTCGCCGCCAGCTGGCGGCTGTGCTTACATGGAAGATGCCCAAACGAAGCATTGCAAAGACTGCGCTGCGTCGGGGTTTGGACCTTCCCCGGAAACCTGTAGGTGAGGGCGGGGGTTCTAACAGACCTCATCCTGGCAAAATGCCAAGCTATGGTGCCACCCCTCTAATCCGTTGCCCTCGGCGTCAGCCCGACAATCTGCTTGCAACTGTTGAAGCCAGTTACTCACGCAATATTCAAACACGCCAGATGTCAACCAAGTCTTGCGGCGAAACCTCATGCCACTGAACAAATCTCAAGAGCAGCCGGGGGTTGGATTGGGGAAGGGACCCGCGCCCTAGCAGCAGTCAACAAATAAAAAGCGCTATCCCATACGCCATGGTATTTGGGATGTTGTACCACTTGGACAGCCTCTTCACTCCCAAAGCCAAAATCGCCTTCCAGTGGACTAAAAAGCTTTAAAATGGGATCTCCATTCCGTCCAGACCTGAAGCAAGGAATCCACTAGACCTACATCATAATACGTCATCTCAGTTGCCCAAAGGAAATAAAAGGTTAGCCTTTCGGGGCCATGAGTAAACACGGACCCAAATCGAGAAACCAAGAGGTCAAAAGGTCGATTCGCTTTTGGTGAGCTCGTTTTTACCCCCAAGCAGATCAGATTCGGCAATCATTGCCGGTGTCTCGATCAACGAAATGAAGGCTGAACAGTCACTGACGATTTTGTTGCACTCCCGTCTTAGTTGGAGGTCTCTAAACAGCGTAAAATAACAACTGGTCAAGTAGGGATGACGTATCCACTCCCAAATGCCCCCTAGTTTGAGGTACCAGTGTACAAGCCACTCACCTAGAATCCATGTGCACATTTCCTAGACCTTGTGCACTAGAAAAGGTAAAGACAACCACCATACTGCGAGCCAAACAAGCGCGAAGCACGTGCTGCCACCACAAGCATTGCTACACACCGTGTCACCATAAAGCTTGACACGGTTCGCAGGAAACAAGATATAATCTGCATCCGGTGAGAATGTGTAGCCGCAGCCCATCTCATGAAGCTTCTTGAAGCTTAGGCTTCCGCGCACTTGTACCATGTGACCCCCGACGCTGCAAACCTAATTTAGGATTGGGCCCAATACGCCGCAGTTGTCATCTCATCCTTGGGAAAATGTATTGCGAGGCAAATGGCATTGAGCCCTTTGTATGGCCCAGGCACAATTCAGCTAGGATAGAACCGTATAGAACCGATTAGCTTAAAACCTCAGCCACCAAACCAGCTTCTTATTTATGAGAAATGGCTAAAACACGCTACTGTTCGTAACCTACTGACATGACCATGCTCCCCCCCGGTAACAACAGCAAGCCTTCGCGACGTATTCGAGGAGCATACATCGAAAACACACACACACCAAGAATCGGTGTGGTGCGCCAGAGATGGACCATCATCCGCACACAACCCCATGTTGGTCAGCCTTCTCCCGCTAAAAACTCATCCCCAAACATATGAAGTTCAGAAACTGGGACACTGTGGTTCACACACGCACAGTAGAAATAGGTTTGCCGTAAACATGAGTCCCTGAGTCCTTCATTTGAGCATAACACCCAAAGCTGGATTTGTCGCCAATGAGTCAATAAGCGAGTACTCGCTTGCTATTGTGAGGATTCAGTCGCAAATCCTCTCACCCTCCTTTATATGAGAAGTGTATTACCTCATGTTGTGAACCCAGCATGGGGGCTCAAAGGCTGGCCGGGCTTCGAAGACAAGGCCAACAAAACGCGAGCTCGAAGCAGTGGGTTGTGGAGACTCTTAGGGTTTTTCCCTGCAGCCTTGATAATGCAACTAACATGGTCAGACTCTCCATGCCGCCTTCAACACGCAAGAGTCTGTCACAAAATAGAGGAAATGATGTCGGGCCAAAAGACGACTAAATCCAGGGTTGTGGGAGTTGCCCACAACCAATTACCACTGGAGGCGTTGCCAAATTCTTCACTCCACTCGGAGGTACCTTCATATCACAAATTCAAGAAATACCCTCCCTCCCACTGACATGTGACCTGACGGGGGTCGTTTCAAGAGGAAATCGATGTTCCAGCTAGCTTCTGAAGGGTACACTCCCCATTTCCACCGAACAAATCCGCCGAGTGGCACGGCTCTATCCACAGGTCTTCGGCTTGATGCCCTGCGCCGGCGCATAGCAGCCAGGCGCGGTGCAAGAGGTTCTGGGACCGGAGGTTCCAGAGCAGGAAGCGGCACAGTAGCCTTCAGAGTCTCAGCCCAAGTGGGGTCCGTGGCATCGTGATGGGGGTCCAAGAAAAAGCTTGCGACTGTTTGCTCTTGGCATCTCGATATGTCTCAAATCGAGTTGCAGCCCGTTCCATCATTTGGGTGGGCAAATATATGGCTGCTAGATTGAGGCTTTGCTTCAATCCTTACAGACGGGGTCCAATTGTTTGCAATTGGCATGGGGAAGTGGTGATGAACGAGAATGAACACATATAGCACGCGAGGAGAGCCGGTCTTTTCATCATTTGGCCAAAAATACCGCGAAGAAGGAAGTTCTTGGCATCTGAGCAAGGTACTGTTCACAGCCGGAACGGAAAGGATCCTTCATGGGTGAGCTCGTTTGAGCCCTAACTTGCTATAATTTGCACAAATGGCATGGGGTTGTCAGCACAATGGTAAGGATATTGTTCCAAGAGGAAAACCATCTATGTTTTGGTCATACAAGCCGTTGAAGGGAAGCAAGGACAGCACACTGGGATGGCTTTTGTAAGAAACACAAAAAGGACACCAACGCCATTTCTGAGGATTCTCAATTCAAACAGAACCAAATCTTTTGTTTTTCTCAAAGTTAGTCCATCTGACTGCCCTCGGTCCAAATAGACCGGGCCGTTTTGCCGCACATAAATCCAACGGGATGGGATGCGCTGGCAGTAACGATGTATACGCAGCCACTTTCAGTCTCCATTACCCCAGGAGAAACACGGGTTACACGATCGCAATTTAGCACCTCAATGCTGGAAACCTGCATCAAAGAGTTTCATGAAAGTTGGTGAGCCAGCAAAGATGCAACACATGTCATCCGTCACTAAGCTCAGCACAAGGGCAACACAGTCCAACCTCTTCAGAAACCAGATGAACTTAGCCAAGCTCCCCAAATGTGCTTATCGGGGGCCAACCTAGCAATGATCATAGGGCTGCCGTGCTTGTACTCTGAGCGCGCTTGTTTGTTTTTGCTCTCCAATCAAGGGGTTCCCATGAGTGAGAGGTTTATATTCATAGAGGCTCCATGAGCAAACTGTTGGGCTCTCCAGGAGCAAACAGCGGCTTTTATTGTCAGGGGAGAACCATCGGGCAAACAACGGTTCTTTATTATAATAACAATTGCTTGTCGAACAAAACACGGGTGCTTTCCCTTTAAACGTTCTACTTACAAGTTGCATTCTGAACACATGTTTTGCAAATCAAATGGGTCCCCGCTTTGCAAATTGCAGCGCAGTCTGAAGCCAAAAACCAGGGGCCCTACAATAAACACCCTCCGCGGCTTTGGTTTATTAGGGGGAGGCAGGGAGGGGGGCGGTCAACTATTGGGGGTAAGGGATTACTGCGGTTTCTTGAATATTGAGGCCCTTCTTGTTCCGCGTGGGAAGTGCCCAGTTTGACCCACTCTTAGAAAAGGGAAATAATGCATGAAACATGCTGAAGGGTGTTGCATTGTACAGCATTGGCGCCAAGGTTGATGTGACATGGATTTCAATTAGAACTTAAATGGAATTGAACAAGAAAGTGCACCACTGTTTACGCATTGAATTGGATGCTAATTTCAAATTATTTTAGATTGGCGGTCCAATATGATGCTTAACTCAAGTCAAATTGAATTTATGTAGAAACAACAAAGGGTGTGATTCATGTTGAACTAGAGTTGGATTCTAGCTTCAGAGAGCATGCTGTGATACTGGCCAATCGCAGGTCCAACTTCAGGGGGGTTGAATATATATATATATATATACACAGGCATATCTATATTGTTTCGGTATGTCAAAATGGGAGACTCTAAAATGGGTGGATTCCTTCTGGTTTCACTGATCACCTCCCCCAACAGGGAATATATATATATATATATATGGTGTATGCATGAACATATATATATATATATATATACAATATATATATGCATGTATACATGCACGTATAATATTCAGAAAAATCATGTATCATGTATATATATATATATGTGCAAACCGTACATACTTCTAGATGGGCATGTCTGTTCTTTCGGGACCCCCGCTTTTGAGTGGTTGCAAAGGGAAACCAAAGGAAACACATTTTGCGGGGCGCCCACCCCCTCGTGTCTCGCTATGTGGCGGGTTGGGCTCCAGCAGCAGCAGCTGAGCTTCCGGGAAGCGCCGCGCCAGGGCGATGGCGGCGCCCCCGTAGTTGGCGCCCAGGTCCAAGATGCGCAGAATGGGTGTGGAAGGCCTGGGGTGAGACTGATGGACGAAATGGATTTCGTACCACGCCACAACCAAAACCCGGTACTAAAATGGTGAACCCAGAACCATGTAAAGAATTCAGAAGGCGGCCGCAACTATTTCCGGCTGGGACTGCCCCTTACTAACCTTCATCTACCCGGGTTTTGATCGTGGCTCTGAGAAACCCTGGAATCTGATGAATCCCCTGTAAATACCAAGAAACAATGGATTCCTCTATGGTTTCCAAGTGGTTCAGGATTTCGTCCATCCACAATATCTTGCTGGTTCTCAGAGAATCAGTTGCAATGGCCCCGGTTTAAGCCATCCATCCTGTGGTTTCCTTTATTCGGGAATCCCTAGGTTCATTCCCAAACTCTGGGTCATTGCCTTCTGAGCACCAGCAAGTTCTGGGGAGCCATGGATACCCAACCATCCCGTGCCTTTGCTTGGTATCCTTTGGGAGTGGAAGGGCTGGAGGCTGGGACCTCAAGCTGTATGGGTCAAAGTCAGAAACTGGGCCAACCCGCTGGTTAAGCCACGGTTCAAACACTTGTATTAATTTCACCCCTTTTTCTCGTTCCCGTAATTCAGGGCGGAATGGGAGTTTGGAGGGAGTGGGGGTGTGGGGCACTGGGGGGTGGGTCCAATTTTCGGTGGTTTGAGTTCTCAACACTTCGGGCGGGACCCCCTTTAAACCGTCGGTCGTGCTTTCTTTGGGGGGACCCAGAAGGAAAGGGCACCTCTGGAGGTGTGCGCCGGGAAAGCCCTCAACAAGTTATGCACCATGTATGGATCCTTTTCCCAGCTCAAAGCTTCGGGGTGTCTGCTTTCCGCAGTGGTGAGGGAGCTCTGGGCGTTTCAAGTGTTCCCGGGCCTGGTTGCTGTTGGGGATACTTTTTTCAGCTGTTGGGGATACTTGTTTATTGGATCTGAGTCGGCTCAATCGCCCAGCATTCGAAGAAACCAACGAAATCGACTGCGAAGCATAGATCAAGCATGGCCTGCACCCAGCGAAAGTCCACAAACAAGCACACCGCGTTCTCGGTGACCCTGCAGGCCCTCTTACATGGAACCTGAGAAGGTGTGGGTCCTCTTTAAAAGCAATACCACCGCTTCTCTTTGGCTCGAGGATTAAACATGGATGGTCCAGGAAGCTCAGTCTCTGTCTCGTAGAGATGAATGTCGGGCATGTCACCTTCACAGGAACCGCAGGGCACTTGTGCGTCAAGCTGGGTGCAGAACTGCTTCAATCTTGGTGCCCTGTGCTGAATGCGTTGCCAGTGTTGAGGAGTCATGCTGCAAGTGGCTCCTGTTTCGTGTAGGTTGCAATCACTCACCAACCCAAAACAGGGACCCCTGTCAAAGAAACTGAGGTCGCTGTGATTTGCGCAGCTTGAATGGGGAGGGACGCTGAAAACGAAGTGGAGTCTTAGCAAGTGTGGCCGCTTTTGTTTGGCAGATTTGTCACCAGCAATACAAGATCTAATGGCACCAGCTTGACATAGAGGACACCGTTCCCAGTGCTTCCAGTTACCGCCATAGGTAACCAGTCGTTTCTACCAGCCCCTTCAGGTTGCCAGTGGCTCCATGCCAAGAGTGGATCCCGGAAACTCATGCGGGTGCCCCAAACTGGCACCACGGATAGCTAGGTCCTCCAGTAGAGAGGTTAGAATAAGGGTACCATTCTTTCTGTAGTCCATTTTAGTCGGGGAACCCTCCCCTAAAAAAGGGGTTAAGAATGGCACTACTGGGGGACCTAGATAGAGATGTCCGCGAAAGACCTGGATTTGCCCTCCGCTTCGTCTTCAAATGGGTGGTGTCCATTCGCTTCCCTTGAAACCAAGTCATCTATCAAAGTGCCGACGGTAGACGAAGACAAACCACAAGCTGTTGGGCGGTCGAAATGAACAAGTGAAAAAATGAACAAATGAACAAATGACAAATGAACAAATGGGGGTCTCAATTTTTTGTGAATGACACGTGAACTGAACAAGTCTCCCCAACTGCTCAAAGCTTTGGGGTCTCTGCCCAGCTTCGTAGCTTGGAGCAATTTTCCGGAAAGGTTCCGAGTCCTGCGGGCGATGACACCTGGGCTTACTTTGGCACTTGTCCGAAAAAGGGAACGCCCTCTAAAACACAGAGAAACAAGGGGCACCACTTGACCCACATTTCGAGCACTCCAAAAAACTATCGATTAGGATTCCTATTCAGTCTACCCTAACAGAGGGTGAAACACATTTTCTAGGGGCATTCTTTTCAGGGATCCTTCTTTTCAGGAAACCATCAAACAAGGGGAAACAGCCGGCTGTTGAAAAGAATGGTTGGAATCAACCCCTATAAATTTTGGAGGGATCTCCCAGCTCAAACTTCGGCTTCCGCGCCTTTGAAGACTCGTAGCTGGACGGCGCCCACGGAGAGCTTCACTTCCTTCAGCGCAGCGGCGTGTTGCATCAGCGCCTCCCACTGCAGCCTTCGGCGAACCGGAGCCGGAATCATGAGACATGGACCCTTGTGGGAGGCAGTTTGGATGGAGGAAACCGCATGAAACGGAATGGGATTTGAGGTTACCTACTGTAGATGGACGAAATCCTGTACCACTTTGAAGCCAAGGGACACCAGCTTTTGTTGGTATTTACAAAGGAATCATCATCCCAGGGTTTCTTAAGATAATGCAGGATTTCGTCCATCCACAGTACGAAATGAACCAAAATGACAACCTGGGCTGGAAGCCATAACGGGCAGTGGCTGGGACAAGTTTGGTAACCTGCTGGCCAACTCCCTCAATACCATCTACCACTAACCTTCTGAAAGCTCCAATGCAATCTAAAGAATGGCCCTAACCTCGGGGACGTTTTGACCTGGGTCCTTGGTGTTACTTCAGGGCTTGCAACGGCAAATCTCAGAGCAATGTCTCTCTCAGTTTGCGCACATAGTCTGAGCTTGGTGACTCGAGTCCGAGTCCCGCCTGCATTTAGACGGCCCGGACCAAACAACGCACACATAGTTGTTTGATCATGAGCAATTGGGCAAAGGGTGGAACTGAACTGATTTGTTCTAAGTTGGCCAATTGGTTCGTCTCTTGGGCATGGGTAAGTTTTCCGCCCAAACTAGTTCGGCCCAGGATTTTTGGTTCACTTCCGAGCAACATATGTGACCGGGTTTCACACAACAAGGTCTGGCGTGACATGCCGGGCGCTTCTGACAAGACTCTGTTCCGGCTGCTCTGCCGGGTGCATGCCAGGCGGGAACGCCACCGTGGGCGCATGTGTCAGGGGGTAGGGGTCCAGGACCGCCCACCCGCTGCCGCAGCCTCAACTCCAGGAGAGTGGAATGGGATGTGGCACTGAGTTGCTCTTGGTTGTTCTTAGCAGTGAAGCGGGGATTTCCCACTAAACCACAATGAGCATAAATGTAAACTGATGTAAAATGCTTCCCAACAACCATGATAAGGAGTAACAAGATGCGCTACCCGTTTAGCATAAGGATGAAGAATTGGGTTTGAACAACCCAGTGTGGGATGCGCATGGGAGAAGTGGGGGTGATCTGGGCAGGAATGCCGTGTTGGGGAATGAACGCCACAAATGGTATCCACATTGACACAACGCATCACCTTGTAAAAAACAAACGTCGCGGTCAACGCGGTGAAACGATGAAGCTTCTTGGACGGAAGCGAGCCGCACAGTATGTTGAACAGGCTACGAACGGTGTCTTTTATCTGCAATATTCCCCCGTTGCCTTCTCACTTGTTGACTGCGCACAGAAGTAATTGAAACATAGACATGTACCGCATTGCTTCTTTCGCGCAAAAGGACAAGAACAATTGCGATACCTCTTCTGCTTGCTGGGAATCTCGTCCCTGGAGACAGCATACGGCCTGAAAAGTGGAGAGAACGTGCCACTTGGAATTCACCGCGGAACCTGGTTCATGTGCGCTAAGGCTTTTGTGTGCCCCATGAACTGAGAATTCTCAATGCAACACCAAACGTGGTAAGTTCAAAGGAAGCCACCCCGGGAAGCAGCAGAAATGACTGGATTAGATTAGATCGTGCCTTGTTCACGGATAAGAGTGAAGACACGATGAAGAAGGCACATCCCGTTGACCCCTCCCAAAGCGAGGCAGCCGTGTTTCCTGGGATGCGGGGCTCCGCCATCCCCCTTCTTGGGGGGGCTCAGCAGCTTTGCAACTGGAAGTGATTGGAATCACTGATAGTCCCTGCAAGGCACGCCCGAAAGCACAAAAAGTGGATTCCCAGGACCGGTCCCGGGACCGGTCCCAGGGACTGGTCCTGGGACCGCTTCGGATTACTTGCAGTCAGCCAAAACCGGTCCTGGGACTGGTCCTGGGACTTTCAGGACTGGTCCAACCCGGTCCCAGGATCGAGTCCTGGTGTGCACTTCAAACCGCTGCAGAAACCCGGTGCCACCTCAAACAGCTCCAGACACCTGTTTCCTCCAGTGTCGCTGTTTCGGGACTGGCACCCGTGTTTCAGGACCGGACAGGGTCCCAAGTCCCAGTCCCTCCCTGCGACCAGTTGAGGGGCACCGACGGCCTTGTTTCTAGGACCAGCTCAACGTGACTTGGGCGCGAGCCGGCCCGTGCGGTCATTGACGGACGAGCTGCCGTCTGTCTGACTTTTCCGCTAATCCTTGTGGTAGTAGGGGATCCCTGGATCTAATCTGCAAGAGAGGGCCACTAGGGCCACTGTCGCCGGGGCAGTTTCGGGAGGGCCAGTTTCAGGGCGACCCGGGACAGGCGACTGCTCCCGGGCTCGAAGTGACTTGGGCGCAAGCCGGCCCAAGCGGCAATTAACTGACTAGCTGCCATATTTCTGACTGTTCCGTTAATCCTTGTTTGTGGTCGTAGAAAATATTATAAGTGGTCCCTGGGTTTGCGGACGTGTTTCAGGACCGGTCCTTGTGACTTTTCCCTTAATGCGCCGAGGGTCGGCGGCAGCAGGCGGGAGCCTGGTTAATAATGAAAAACAAGAAAAGTTGAAGGAACATAACAGGGAAAGAAGAAAATGAAAAACAAAAAACAAGACAGAGCCCACGAACCCGAATGCACATCACTTTGCGAGTCCACAAGCAATTGGGTGATTGTTGTTTATTTCGCCTGCCTGCAAAGTATTCATATCAGAAATCGTGAGTCATAAATTGAAACCGGAATCAAGTGATATATAGCTCAACTGCTTGGTGTGTCACTGATGAAATATCACGTCAACTGCAAGCATCGATTGTACTCACAAGAACACAAGGCCTTCCAGATTGGACTACTTCCCTGACCAATCAAAATATTGTCTTCTCAAGTTTGCGAAACTCTTTGCCTGGCAAGCACAAGGGCATGCCCAGCAACAGGTTCGCAATTAGACCCGTGAAGCAACTGTTTGCCCAGGGATGGCCGGGCGCACTGCGTCTCGCCTGATGTCAATGCTCAACGAAAGCACGGCAGAATTGGTGGAATGTCCAAGCCTAGAATTTGCGTGTTTGTCGATTGGGATGTGTTTTTTAATAAGAAATATGAAAACATGTTGCCACACTTGACCCAGCAAACAGACGCCCCTCAAGGCCTACAGTGTGAAGTCCCCACATCCCGCGGATTTCTCTTTTCGCGGCGATGCCGAGCCGGATGACCGGGCGGCGCCCCCATCGCCATTCTGGCGAGCGAAACTTTGGCACTTGAAACCATGTCGCGCCGAGGCTTTTGAGGCCTGGGAGAGCCTGATTGAACACCCCGTCTTTGGATGGCACGCAAAATCCGACAAGAAACGTTATTTTAGGAAGCACCTTGATCTCGGGGCAAGGGAACCTTTGATCCCCACCATATTGCTTCCCGCCACTGGCTGTTCGTCATTGCTACCGAGCTTCGACCTGGGACCTTTTCTGGAATGCCTTTGATGTGCTGACCTACAGACCTCAAAGCAAGAAAGGTGAGAAAGCCAGCTTTGGGCACCATATTGCACCATTTGTCAATTATATTGGAAGAGTGTTCCCTGCCAAAAACCTCTCCATATAAACGCAAAAAGCCAAGTCTAAGAGCCTGGCCCGGAAACGCCAAGAAACATGGAACGTCTGTTCTACCCAAATTTAGCCTGCAGCTCCGGTGCGACAGCTGTGCGAAGCCAAGCTTTAAGAGCTGCTTTACAGAGGTAAGCGAATGCTCTCGGCGAGACTTGGGCAAACCAAACAACTACTCCAGCAAAACCGGGGCAATTGGAGGTTACGCTCTCTCAGACTAAAATAGACTTGAGGGAGGTCTTTTGTATGGAAAACAATTCTGCCTGTATCAAAACAGACTTTCGGCAGAACTGTGTGGTTTCTTCTTTCCCTTTTACCCAAAAAGTATCATATGGGTATGGGTCAAAAATTGAAACACCAGGGGACCGCAGGTTTTAGTCATCTTTCCCATTTAGCAGGGTTCCACTTTGGGTACCTATTTTTGACCCACACCCATATTGGACCTCCTTGCTCAAGCAAGCTGTTTTGGCATGGAACGTGCTGTCCCATTGGTCCCTTTGGCCAACTGAACTTCGCCACCGACGGCAGCGATGTGAGGGCATATGAGTATCATATAGAAATATATATATATATATTGACAGAGGCGGTTCTGCATAAACACCAGTTTTCACATTTTGGGTCCAAGCGGGCGTAAACCCCGGACAACCCCCCGGACAAACCCCCCGGACAACCCTCCGGACAGCTTTGAGCACAAAATCGGCGGGACAACTCCCCGGACAAACTCCCGGACAACCCTCCGGACAGCTTTGAGGGCCCAAAAGCCAGGGACAAACCCCCGGACAAACCTCCGGAAAACCCTCCGGACAGATTTGAGGGCCCAAAAACTCGGGACAAACCTCCGGACAAGTCTTCGGACAGGTTTGGAACACGCCAAAACCACTCGGAAACCACTCGGAAACCACTTGCAAACCACTCGGAAACCGCTCGGAAACCACTCGGAAACCACTCGGAAACCACTCGAGAATGACTCGGAGGGAAGTATTCTCGCGGGAGGGGGGTTTGCAGCATAAATCTCGGCAAAGTGCGCGGACAACCCTCCGGACAACCCTCCCGACAACCCCCCGGACAACTTGCCGGACAGCAGTGTGTCCCGCACTTTGTCCCGCGTCTTTTTCAGCCTAGCAGGCCTTCCAGAAAATCCCAGCCAGGGTAAGGAATGCGCCCCAGGCATCCCCCTGCCCAGGGGAAACAGGGCCTCAGATGCTTTCTTTAAACAAGAGGGAAAGAAAGAACAACTAATCACTGTCTTGTGCTGGCGGGGGGGATAACCATATGTACGTAAACTATCTATGTGCGGATGGATTCACCTCATGTGGACATACCCTGACACAGACTCAGCTATGATGCCGCTCAGGAAGCTGTATGCCAGAGTGCTCCTTAACAAAAGAGCACTTCTGAGCTGATCGTTCTACCAGTCATTGCATTTCCGACGCCTGCATTGCACCGTTGACGGAACTGCTCTTCTTTCAAATGGCCATTAACCTGCAAAAACTGATCCGACTCAAGTTGGCAACCAAAGGGAGTATTTTGACCCCCGCCCCCTCCCCACGAGGTCTGTCTTTGAGGGAAGTGAGGGCCCAAGCGCGTGTTTATCAATTTCATTTCCGACTCAAACTCAACAACCAATTGATACTTCCACGCTCTGAGTGAAGCAATAGTGATAATGAAATCGATATCAATGATAATACACATAAGCATGAACAAAAAATAATAACAATAACAAATATTACAAATAAGACTAATAACACTAAATAATACTAAATAATGATAATAATTAAAACATAACAATAACAAAAACATATGCGTAATAATACTAATCATAGATCCATGAGTAAATACATAAATAAAACAATAAATAAATAAATACAACATAAATAAATAAATAAATAACTAAGAAAAAAAAACATGAATAAAATAAATAAATAATACATGCACAAGTAATGATTCATAATTTATTAACTAATTCATCATAATAATAACAACAACTCATAATAATAAGAAGGATAATACTAATAAACATAATAATAATAGTCATACTAATCACAATGCTAACGATAATGTGTCAAAGACAGCGACACGTCCAAATGCTTGGTATCATACCAGTTTCTGTGTACAAGTGCTGACCAGGTTTCCGATGTTTTGGTCCAAATCCAGAACGACTTTGTTTTGCCCGAGTCACCGTCGCAGAAGGGCATCACGGTCTTCGACCAATTCAGATCAGCTGCTCCAAATTAAAGCCCCTACAGCAATGAACTGACTGCTGCAGCTAAGGCAAACATGGGCTTGGCTGAAAAAATGGCGGAACAAGGCCACAACCGTTTAAAAGCAGGATTGCTGCTTTCCAAAAGGGACCCATGATTTAGATTTGCGCCGGGGCTGCGCTATTGTCCAACGATCATGGCTCATAATCACTTGGGGCACCCGATTGTGTCGCTGACACTTCTGGACAGGCATCTCACGCAGCAAACCTGGCGACAAGACATGGCACGGCCCGCGCAAGCTGACAAAGTTGGATGCAGTGCGAACCAAACAGCAGTCCTTTACCACGGCTTCTTGCGGCTTCCATGAAGGGATATCCTATTGGCTTTGGACAGCACTCCATTCTCACCAATTCCAGCCATGCAGGAAGGGCTCCCCAGCTGCTCCCCAGCTGTCCCCAGTGCTTCCACATAATTACCGCGGAGTGTCGACGTTAACTGGATCTGTCCAGGGAGTCGTGAAATTCAGCAGCTTGTGTCTTTAGGCTTACTCCTGATCAAATCTTGGAAGGGTCTGCCTCTACAAGACAAGTGTCCGAGCTTGTAAGGCTGGAAAGGTGTTTGATGCTTGCTTCACAGATGCCCTTTCAGATTTGAAGGGGTTCAGCCTCCTGTGACAGGTCATCAAGCTTCCAAAGCTGGTTCCTAGCCGAATGTTTGTTTTATCAAACGAAGCATCCCGAAGCGCCTTGCAGTCCCTGAATTGTCCAAACATGACAAATCCATAAGTTTATGATATGTGTATGTGTGCAGCACATGACCCTTGGTTGCATTGCGTTGCTTCGATAGTATCTTCAATCATCACCCTGGAGGAAATGTCCTTGAGACTGGCCATTCAATTTGCAGTCTAAACCGAGACAAAGGAACGGGACATCTAGAGATCCCTGTCTTGAAGCCTTGGTGACTCCACCTTCATGGGGCCAACTACCTGTTGGATGGCATTGTAGTGTTTCCTGAAGCGGGTTCAGTTTGCACACATTGTGGAGACTTCCCAGGAACCACAATTAAGATGTCATGTGCTAACTGATTGTTAGGACTGTACTAATGAATTTCGCAAGGGCATGATCTATTTTAGAGGCTCCTTTCCTAGGCTTCTGCGGGTTATCTAAAGTTGATTCAGCGACTTGTGTAGCAGGTAGCCAACGGAACCATCCTGCTGAAACCCAACATATAAATGCTGGTTGCTCACTTTCATGGCTTGCCAGGACTCTGCTGCGCATCCCCCCGAAGGCGCGCCTATACATTCGAACTCTGCTCGTGAGAGGAGAAGCTGCAGAGGCGTCGGGCTGCGCGAGCCGCCGGGACCAAATAGTCAAAGCCGATCAGCTTTTGCTTCAGCAAGCCTCCGGTGGGGAAACGAATCACATTGTGTTGCTGGTTTAGAGTGGGACATCACTGCACGTACAAGTATGGATATTGCGTATATTATGCATAGATTGCAAAGCGTTCAACCATAAGACGTCGAGTCAAATGAGTGCTACCTCAAATTTGGGTTTCAGGTACAATATCCTTTTTGGGAGGGTATTGTTGGTGCTAGGCCATGGGTTGAAAGTGTTTTGCCGAATTCTTACTTGGACGAGCATGCGCTAGCAGCCTGTCTGTCTTGGACACGGACTCATGGCTTAAGATTACTACCAGTATGGGGGCTGTCGTTCGGGGCATTCTTCGGGATTCATGCGGGGTCCTGTTCGGATTTCGGATTCGTGTCCTTCCGTTCAGGCCACATCTGCGGCGCTGCAAATAAAAAAAAGCGGAAACTGGGAACGTTGTTTGGACATCTCCCGCAACTGAACCTGAGCCCAAGCAAATTCTATGAGCACAAAGCATACCATCATGTTTGCACTTGGTCTTACGTAAAGCCTGCGGGCTAATCCCTTTTTTGGGCCGTTGTTTTAGAGGGTTTGCGTGCATTTTTATCAAACATGGCTTTCATCAAAACCTTTACGCAGAAAACGCAAATAGATACTCTAATATTTCCAGATTAATCTTCTGTTGGCAATATGTTTGCTTCTAGCCCAATAAAGAGATCATTCTCCTCTGCTTCTCTCACACAAACCCACCTGTTGTAGGGTTCCAAACCACTCGGGTTCTACGACTCGTGCACTTTGGGGAGACATTCATCTCCTTTTCTTCCGGGGGACAGGAAGAACGTCATCACCACGCTTCGCAAGGAAAAACGTGCCATACATCCGCTCGAGAGAGCGCGCCTTGGTTCCCGAAGATCAGCAGCTGCAGCTCGGCGTCGAAGTCTGGCACGCTGGAGATCTTCGCCAGGATCATCCTAACCCAGAAAGGGCCGCTGGGGTTAACCGAAGCCCAGAGAGACACAATTGAGATGAAACTAATTTTTACAGTGGGAGCTACCTGAAACAAACACCAGCGGCGGTGCGGCAAGGAGGCCCGAAACCGACCACATCGCAGCCAAACAAAAACGAGGTGCGGGGGCATTTTGACCTGAACAACCAAAATGGTGGGTGAAACAGGGCAAAAGGAAAAGACCCACACAAATCAAAGTTTTGGGGCCAAGACCCGAAAATTGAAATGAAGAATGGATGCTTGGGAGTCATGTGCAAAGGTTGGGTCTAAAAGCCACGATGTTCTGCCTAACCATGGCAGCATGACATTTGGTGGCGACAAGCCGCACTATGTATGGTTGTTGCGAATGAATGGGACAAAACACGGACAAGAAAACACAGGATAAGGGGGCTCAACACCAAGAAAAAGCTATTTCGATTTGAGTCTAGAATGGTTGTTATTCTTCGTTGGACATACTGTGGATGGACAAATCCTGCACCACCTAAGAAACTCTGGAATGATGATTCTCCTGTAAATATGACAAACAATGGTTTCCAATACTTTCAAAGTGGTGCAGGATTTCGTCCATCCACAGTACCTATAAAAAAGGACTGGCTTTCCTGCGCGGCATCACAGAAAGTGGCCCAAATCCCAAACCCTGATCTTCCATGACCAAAAGCAGGCTGCTTGAACCATAAACTCCATGGTTTCAACGGATTGAATCGCCCATGCTAGAGGGCCTGTTTTGACTTGGTTCGATAGGGACTGAGGGAACCCCTATGAACACTCCGTTGTGGTGAGGGATCAGCGGTTCAGACAGTTCATTCACAAAACCCCGGTCGAGCCCCTGAGAACCGTGAGATGACTCAAAACCAGGGGGTGGTTGCCCTTTCCTCCACACCGATAAAACACCCGAAACAACGTCGCGCCACTGGAACCAAGGAGCTCTTTGTCCTCCGGCCGCGTAGCCAAGGAATTGGCCACAGACAGGTTTGCCAGGCGCCAGTACACCGAGAAATCCTGCTCCTCCAGGTCAAAGGGCTGAGTGGAGTGGAGGACGATGCTTTGCCTCAAACGAAACCTTCCATTTGTTTTGTCACCCCCCGGAAAAATAACAAATATGTCCAGAAGTGATAGATTCCCATTAAAACCAACAGGAAAAATATAATATATTGCAAAGCAAGTGCCCATGAAGCTGATTGTGGGAAATAATCCTTGCGATACCAAAGTGGGTCGTACCCATGACCTTGTCACTACTCCACAGCGGATGTGCCGCCTATCACAAAAAGTGGCCCGAAAATACTTTCCGCACAGCCATGGCAACGCAAAGAGGGGGACCCTGTTTCTATCCGCAACCCAAAAAACGAATCGAGATACAAAGTTGCATGGGGTTGAAAAGCAAGGCCCACCTTGAAGTGTGCTGCTGGAAAGTAGTGATGATAAACCTGGCCGGAACGGAACTGTAGGGGGCCGACCAGACAACATATGTCAGGGGGATGTTTGTCTTCTATACATCATGCCCAAAAAACAACTCAAGAAGTTCAGAAGCAGACATCTGCATTACATGACAATATCTGACACCCATCTTCGCCCAACAATAGCAAAGAAGCGGCCAGTGAAACAAAAAACAAACAAGCAGGTGCCTAACACCACAAATGATCAATTTTTGTCAAAAGAAACAAACTCGCACCAACCCCTGCCCCGACTTTGCTCAAGGTGCTTGAATTGATGCCCAACCACAAAACCAATCCAAACAGACTCGAAGTTGTCCGCCAGCAGATTCCCCTACGCGGATGGCCCCAACCCAAACCTGGCCTGAGTTCAGGGGGGTTGTGCATGTCCCCTGTAAACATTACTTGTCCAAAAGGAAACACGTTCAAACAAGTCCAAAAGGCGATGTTGACATCACCCCGTCCCCAACAGCAACACAAACAAAAGGAAAAAAACAAACAAGGACTCCGACAATTTTTCGCCTGACATGAAGCGAGGGGCGGGATGTCGGCGTCATGCGCCGCGACGAGCTCAGCGACGCACCAGGCTCTCTCGAAGACCCCAAAGTCTATGTCCGCGGCCACCAATTGCCCTGAGAGGAATCGGGAATGTGGGCGTTTCTCGAAGGAAGCGCCCTAAAATGGTTGGTTTCCGTTTGCCCCTTAAATACCAACAAACGAGGTGTACCAGTTTGAAAAACACACATGTGTCAAAATGGGGGACCGCCAAAATGGAGGTTGTTCCTTTAGCCCCTTAAAAATGGTACTGACGAAACACATAAACACCCAGGTAGAAAAGTTTGAGCCATGCTTTCTGCATGAGCCTTTTGACCTGGAGGCTGATGCTTTTTGCCCCTTCGAATCGACTTGAAAGGTGACGTTGCCCGAACCCAACCATTCCCCAAGACTCCTAGTTGCCATTGCATACAGCGATTCCCCCTGAGATTTGTGAGGGTCTCCTACGCCACTCATGGCCATGCCCCACAACACACTCGCCATCCAAGATGCGGAAGTGGGGCTTGTGCAGCTGCAGCCACAACATCAAGGTGTCGAACTTGTTGACCTACCAGCGAAGCCCCGAAGTCCCTGATGGCCATTGTCACAAATCTGATCCTACCTCCCCAAACACACCCATCCCAATTTTGAAGTCATGTTACTCGTTCTCAAAGAATGTGAAGGGGTGTGGCGGGTGAGGTGCTTGAGGTGACCCTGCTTTGTCACTTTGAAGGGGAATCTGACTGAGAAACACGTTCCCAGCTGAAACCCAGAAGGGTTTCAAACCAAAGCACCCACCAGGAACGATGCTCTACTGAAACTGTGGGATTTGTGGTACGTATTCCCCGAAAAGCATTGAAGTTGGGCGATCCGATTCGGCCAAACTGCCCAGGGCCACTGTGTTTGGGGTTCTTCATTTAGGAACTAAATCGAACCCAAGTAGTACCGACACCTCCAAGGGGGGCAAAGGAAGACCACAGCCCCAAGCTCCGAAAAAAGCGCCAACTGGGTTCAACATTGGGAAACTTTGACCCTGCTTATCCATCCTCCCCTTGGCTTCCCTTTGGGCAAAGTAAGTTCTTTGACGGATCGCAGAAATGAGGATTGATTTACTCAAAGCTGGCTCTGGAAGACCTGCCACTATTCCTTTGGCAAAGCACTACCACAAGGCGTAAGGACTCCGTCCGCAGTCCTGCCTCGCACTCGGCGGGCTGGTCGTTCAAGATCTTGGGCTCGCTGCAGGTGCCTGCTGTTCCAAAACTTGACCCCACTGGCTGCCTCTGCTACGTGAGCTTTTCCAAAGGATGGAAACACAAAACCTGTGGAGTTGGATGAAACCCTATGAATGCTTGCATGGGATAAACCAGCTACCAACTGGTCCAGGATGTTGTCTGTCGGCAGTAAGGGAACTCCTGAAGGATGGTATTGAAAAACAGCCACCTGTTTGCGTCGTTCAACTGTGTTGATTTCGGCTGCACCAAGCATTATATATATTTAGCCGACCTCAACTGAGAGATCCGTAACGCACCTCCATCATGGGTGGAATCACTCGCCTTACGCCAAGGTGAACTAGATGCTTCGACATGGATGTTTCCCAAATAGGGCACCCTCCTTAGCCTACTCACGCGCCTGATAAAGAAACCAAGTACGTGCGCTGGGCCACATGTTCCAAATATTCAACCCTGTATGTCTATACCCTGTATAAAGGTAGGCGACTGTTTACAGGGACTATGCTTGGAAGTGGCAAGTCCGTAGCTATTTCCGTCGACCTCACCAAACCAATTGTGTAGCAGGTGCCTTTATGATCATGAGATTGGTGACGTGGATGAACATAGTATGACTAACTCCTGGCATTTCACCCACAACTGCGGGATCCACAACAGACCTTCGTCATGAATGTAGTTGCTCGGTTTTTTACTCCAAGGTTAGCTCGTGATAATCAGTTGGTTAGACACATGGGTTCCCAAGCAAAGGGACCCCGCTTAGGATATGTGTAAAAGGAAGCCAGCAGCAACTAAGTGAACAATTACAAACAACACACAAAAAATGCATATACATGCTTGAACATATCATAAAGAACAAAACACATGCATAATCAACATGTTGTTGATTAGAAACAAGCTCACTAGCAAGCTTACTCTCAGGACTGTCCTGTTTGAAGAATACAGTCAAATTAATGATACCATAAACACATTTCCGAGTAGTAGCGCGGGGCTTATCAAGTTCAGGTAAGCTTTCAGGTCGATTGCTACTTTTGGTGTCTCCTTTTGACTTGTGCACCCCACAAGAAGAAGGCATGCCGTTTGGAACAATGAGGTGGCATGGAGGGGCACAGTTATGATAATCACGTTTGGCTCTCCGAAGCTGAGTCCTTTACTGAAGCGAAGCAAAAGGAGCACCCAGGGCAATTTTTGCATTCACTTCACAGAGCAGGTGTTGATTCGGATCATCTCGCTTCAAGAGACTGGCCCAAACCAGCCCATTTGGTGGGTCAAAATCCCGTACCCCCAGTGAACATCCCAATCCGCACTACAATAGACTAAAATGGGTGGTGCACCTACCCCACTTGGTACTATTGGTTTTGACCCACAGCCCATTTGTTGCCAAGTCAATTGCATCGGGGTTTGCTCCAAGGACCATCGTACGAATGCGGCCAAGCAGCACCCCGGGGAGCCCCTGCCGCAAATGCTGGCGTGTTGATTTATACCTGTGGGCCACAGGTGCCGTCCATTGGGTAAATAATCCATTGGGCCATTGGGATTCAAACAATGGGGGGGCAACATAACCACCATTGCGGGTTAACAATGGTTAACATAAACATGCATCGCGGGTTAACATTAAGCCGACGAACTCTCCTCATCTAACTTGGGTGACCCATTTCAATGGGAGGAACCCCAAAGTGATGCCTGGGAAAGGCAAGTGTGTCCAAACGGTCCCAGAAACAGTGTAGCTTTGTCGTGTTTCAATTCAAGAGAGAAGGATGATCAGGGTTACGACAGGTAAGGTGACAAACAGCAGTGGCATCCACATCTGTTTACACTTAGCCAAGTAGAAGTTTACAAACGTCACGCTTAGGAAACGCAGTTCCCGGCAATCAACCTAAGTTGGGAAATCGATCATGACACAGCCAAATCAGAAGCCGTTTGGGATCAACCGCATGTTCGCAAGACAAACAGAGTACAGTGGTTGTGTACAACCAAAAAACAACTTGAGCATCGCCCAAAACCCACTGACTTTTAGTGCTTGTCAAAAAGGGATTCTAGAGGGCATAAGCCTTGGAGCTCATTTGAGTTGCCAAGCTGGCCTAACGTTGAGAGCCCTCAAGCCACGGGATCGAGGCTTCGAGCTTGGTTCTGACCGCTTACACAGGTTTACTGTGAGCCGGATGCAAGAAGGTGGTAGAAACGCCTGCCCAGAGGTATTTGTTGATGACTTTTCAGAGGTTGGTAAGTTGAATCTGCCCCCTGCGGCTGCAGACACCTGCATCTTTATTTGAGCAAAAAAAGTGCGCACAACGGAAAAGTGCGCGTTTCAATCAAAAAACGCGCAAAGTTCCAAGAACTGCGCGAGGCGTTTTTGGCTGGTTTGAAAAAGGTGCGGGGTGTGTATAGCCTGGACATGAACCTGTCAAGCTGTTCAAAAACAACTATAGGCAAGGATACATGCGCCTAATCGGCCAGAACTTAGGTGATCCAAAGAACCAGAGTGCATTTTGGCTATTTACCAACGGAGCGGTTGTCGGGAATAGCCTTCAACATTGCCAAGCCAGCTTGACAGTCAAGTGAAACAAGTTTCAACTCCTTGAAATTGCAAGAAATTCGAACGGCTCTTGCAAGTGGCGCAGCTTCAAGCGACGACCACATGTGGCTCAAAACCGATCTGTTGGTTGGCAATTCGGGCGCTTTAGACATCTGCTACCTAATTAAAAGGTCAAAAACGCACGCATACATGCGCACACTTTTAGAATTTGCGCGCAATTGCGGATATTTGCGCGATAGTACCGGATTTTTGCGCGCAAATTGCGGGCTGGCAAGGCGCCGAAAATCGACTAATTTCACCTATCAGCGACTTGTCTCAACAAAAATGTGGCGCAAGCACAGTTCTGGAGCAAACAGCGGATCCGTGCAAACCCAGGCAATACTTGCGGGCTGGGAGCTCATGACGGAGCCAAGCGGGTTGCTAAATCAATGGCCTCAAAGTGTCAAGTGCAAGTGATATATAGCTGGTACTTGTGCCGGGTGTGCCACAAATTTCCTGCCTAAAACAGGCTTGGGTGGAGACAAAGACGAGCTAGATATGCTGTAAACATCATGGACTTCAACAAACAGCTGCGCCGGCACGGGCACGAGCAGCGCGGTATCGGTTGTTTACACAAGCAGTGCCGAATTTGGCTACCAGAGGAGTTTCATCCGAAAAGTGCGCAAATCTCTCAAAAGTGCGCAAATTCCAAAAAAGCGCGCAAAAACACCACAAAACGCGCAAACAAGCATTTGAGCAGAAAAAAGTGCGCAAACGAAGATTCAGGCAGTTGCAATGCATTGATTCGGGATTTCGGGCTTGAAATACCGATCAGTTGAATTTTACGGGTACCTGTCTTGGAAGTCTGCGCTCTGCTGGGCGACTGGCTCCTTCATTCAACTCTGGCTGTTCCGAGTTCAGAGTTAGAGCCCCTGTGCTCTTGATCCACTGCCACTTTGAACACACCACTGTGTATCAATTCCCAAACTTGGTTTCCATAGAAAAACTTGCTTTGCCTGGTGCAGTTCGATCTTCCCATGCCAATAGCAACAGCAAACACCATCCCGCCGTCCCCTTGCCGAGGGGCAAAAGCAACATATCCAGTAGCTCTTCTGCAGCAAGCCTCACCACTTGCGTGCCGAGCTGTCGGACGGTCCACGTGCTGCACTCGTGGCTAAAGCAAATGCTTTAGAGAACACAAATTGAACAGTAATTGAACCCTGATCTCATCTTTTGCTGAATGCATGCTTCCCACGCAAAGAAATGAATTCACGTCTCCCCCACAGGGTTCCTTGGCATCCTCGAGGTCCAAATACCCTTGGACGATGCGTTTTTTGGCGGCTGAAAACAAATGGGGTAAAGTACCTCATAGTGCCCTCCCAAACCAACATAAAACCAAACAGGGGGTCCTGGCTTGGACCATTATCCTTTTGAAAAACGGTCCCTTGAAACCTCAGCTACGTAAAAGAAAAGGTGGGAGGCTCGCTTACCTTTCGGACTCATCTCGGACCCCTCCGCTGCTCCCCCGCCTTTGGCTTCTAGGCTCTCGCGCAGGCCCTGCGGATCTTCGATGAGCTGCTGCGTGAGCGCTTGGTACTCTTCGAGGCCCAAGGCGTCGGCACAAATCGCCGCCAGCAGATGGACGAAGAGACACTGCCAGGTGTGAGTGACCTTCATGGGATGCGTTCGTTGCGGGAGAATTGGTCTGGCTGATCTCTGTTTCTTGGGATGCAACGGTTCAGAAGATCTTTTATGGGCTTTTGGTGATCTATGTTTCCTGGCCCTTTCAAGTTGCCTTGAAGAGTCCCAGTTAGTCTGGCCTATGCAAAGTGTCAATGCCTCATTATTGGCTTAGGACTCCTAGCACCCAAGCTTGCGACCATGGCGGCCGTTTCCCCCTTCTCGGGACCTCCCAAAAAAAATCCGGTGACCTGAGCTGTCAATACACGCTCACTGACATGAAACTTGCGTGAACCCCCCTTTGGCATTACGCCGCATAATGTCAGCCCGTTGCCTACTATACGTCATAGTATATATTGATCACTGTTCACCTAGAAAATCCGGTTGAAACAGTTGGGATGGTCCATTTGACACTGCCATTGTTGAGCAAAGAATGGGGTGGAGGCAGGTCAAAGCAGGGTCGGCCGAAAAGAAAAGTAAAAAAAATTAAAAAAAATGGAAGGATCGTGGCCAACCTCCAAAGTTACCAACTGCTAGAGTGGCAAGGCCATCTAAGACCAGAAAGGTGGTTGGAGAAGGGAATGCCTGCTACCATTTCTTGACATGAGGACCTGCAGTAGAAAAATGTTTTTACCGACCACAACCAACAAAGGCAGCTCCTAAGCATGGAGGCTTGCAAAGGGCGCCTTTCAAGTGTTTGTGACAATGCAGGGGCAAAGAGCGCCTGGGAAAAAGGGGCACCCTTGCCACGTACCAAACTTCTTTTTGCTCACACTTCCCGGCAGGTATGAGGAACATTTTACGCAAATATAAAACTGAGCGAACTGATGCAAACAATACTGTGGGTAATTAAATACGTCCATGCCGCTTACACAATGGCTCTCTCAGGCACACCCTTTCGACAAACAACCACTACATGCATCCAGCTTCGCCCAGCGGCCATGCACTCTGGCATCTGGTCCTTGCAGTCACGCCCAGCAGCGTCCAAAACATCTGAGTAGCTCCATCCACCATGTCCGACTCGTGATAAAGGAATCACCGCCTTTCGTACCACCTCTGCGGTTGTAGAGCGGCTGGGATCGAAGTCGGGCATGACATCTCCATTGGGCCCAAGACTGCCTCAGAGCATGGCGCGGTCCTGCGCGTGCGCTTTTGTGTGTGTCTCTTATATACGTACGAACTTACGCACGCACGTAATATATATATATATAATATTACGTGTGTGTGTGTGTGTGTACGCGTGGTGTGCGGAACAGCCTACAATCATACAGCAGCGCCAGGATGTCCTGCTCAGATCCTTGCATTGTGTGCCGCTTTCAAAGGTGCGAATTATGCTGAGTGTTGTTCATCGGGTCTTCGAAGCCACTTGTATTTTTCCTTCAATGACAGACCCCCTTTTTGGGATGTATGCATTAGTTGTGAAGAAAAAATGTTAAGAAAACAAGAAACAACAATAATTGTCGCTATCCCCGTCCCTTGTTCAGGACTGGACCACCCCTGGGGAGGCACCACACGGGTCCATCACGTTGCGTGACATACAAACCGGGGATCCCTAGCGCGATGCAACGCTTTGAGATCCCAGCATGCCATGAGCGGGGTGTGCATACGCCGGTAGCAACATGGCCAGGTCGTGCCAGTCCCCTTCATTTGGTAGCCTGATTGCATTAAGACACACATCAAACTTCCGCATCGCGGCAGAACATGTGTTTTGATTCAAGGAGCGAACAACAACAACTTTCTCGCACTTGTTGACTCTTGGGCTTTTGTCCACACGTTCCCAACCTGGATGGCTTCGGACACGCAACCATGTGAGGCCAATACGTCCTTGAAAGTGCCGTTTTGACTATGTGTATACACAAGTAGACCTTCCCCCAGTGGCCCGGCAACTTTCAACGGCCCAAAATGGGCCGCCAGGCCAAACAGCGCGGGTCGGATCGAGGGGCAATAAAAATCCAGCAACGACCCCAGGTCCATGCGCCGGCGGGCCAGCTCCTGGCCGGTCCAATTTGCGCCAATAAGTCGCCCACTAGGTTGACCTTGAGTAAACGGTCAAGCATGTTGCAGGTTTCAGGGAAAATAAGCCATTTGTTTCTAACAGGTTTGAGGGGATAAGGACACACGCACAACAAAGAGAAGCCATGATACGTGTTCTCACAGGGATCGTCCCTGAACAGAATGTGTCGACTTGTTGCTCCAATACTCGCTTCCGCTGGCAGCAAGGTGTGAGGTGTTCCAAGTTGAGAGCTTGTTCCGGGCCTCAGGGTGAAAAGGTGTTGTTGCTGTGTGAGTCGGGTGTCTCTGCGTGGGAAATGTTTGCTTCTTGGATATGGTCATTTGCGTTCCAGGGCTCGTGAAATTTGCGATGGGGGTACTGAGGGGTACCACATTTCCTCCACTTACTAAATTGGTCATGGCATCCTCACGGGCATCCTCACGGGCATCCTCACGGATCTCCAAGGAACCAAGCAAAAGTCACTTGAGCTTTCTGGATTCCGCATGAGATGTAAAGCTTGGAGGCAGCGACCCTGCTTGGAACCTTTGGAAATAGACAGACACGGCATAACATGGCCGCCTCCAAGAAACATGTTATCCGAACACACCTGCTTGTCAGGCCTTGCTCGAAATTGAGCCAAGCGGGCGAATCGCCAATTGCACCACTTGCGCTCTGGTGTTTGTTTTGGTACCAAAGCATCACCGACCGCATCCAACACTAACACCCGGATCTATTTCGATGGCCCTCTGTTCTGCATGTGGGCAAAGAGCATGACCAAGATGCGGAAGCGTGGGCTTTCACACCCAACTGTAACGCGAAAGCTGAGGATGCCGCAGTCCTCTACCTTCCGGTTCCACGTGTCGTCGTTCTCCAACACCTTCGAGGAGCCCGGGCTGCGCATGGCACGCGCCTCTCAGGGTCAGTGCCAGGTCTGTCAGGAGTCAGGACCTCAAGGTTTGGGACCTTGGAGCAGGAAAACCTGGGGCCCGCCCACCCAAGAATCAAGAAGGGTGCTTAAAACCTTCTCAGGGGTTCTTGTAAGGGCTGAGATCCCTAAACAAATAGCAGTCCAAACCCTGCCCCTTTTCTAGCAATGATGGAAATTGGTGGGAGGGTTGTAAAGACTATGATAAGCTTATAAAGCCCACATGCCCACTTCAATGATTGGGGGAAAGAGGGTGAATCAATCTTAACGTCGGATTGATCCGTCGGATACTATTGAGAAGGCCACTATTCTGTTGCGTTCGGCCGAGTGCAAGTGATACAAATTGCCGCGGTCACAACAACTTATCTGGGCAAAAGATACGAATTCACCCCCTGTAATACGAAAAGGGACCTCCAAGAAAGAAATGCTGGGCCAGGTCACAACCCCCCAATGGGCGGCCGCTATAGTCTGTTAGCCGCAAACAACACAAATTGTAAAAACATGGGGCATCTGGAAGGATGCTTCATCATGAGCCAGCCATGCGCAACAAGCGGCAAAAAGGAAACTCCGCAGTGTTGTACCCCGGCCTTGATAGCAACCCTTGCATTCATGGCCCGTGGGTATCCAGTGGATCCCAGTGGAAACGTAGGAACTTGAACATCTTCCTGCTGTTTTGAAGGGTGCTGCTAAACTGGTAAACAGAAGCCTGGCCAAGGTGACTACAGCGGCAAGTGCAACAACAAACGGACACCTGCAGATTGAGGGAATCCTGGTTCAATACTTAGGGATTGAGGCAAACATGGCCCTTCAAGCTCCAAAGCTCCAAGCCAAATCTGACGAAACCAAAACCAAAGCCAAGCCAAGCACCCTGTGGTTTTTGTTTGAGCCCTGACCCGCAAAGCGAAGCGGATCACGTCTGCCTGGGGCCCGATCTGGGGCAGCTGCGGCTTCAAAATCCCCACGATGAAGATCAGCCCGCCCAGCTCCGCTGCGATGTCAGCGAAGTGGTACCCGGGAACCTGACATTGAATGCGGTAACCTATGGGCCATGAGCAAAGTAAGTAGAACTAGATTTCGGAGAACTTTAAAACCACAGTTAGTCATGATCCTAGGGAAGCTGACTACCTCACAACTTCTTGTTGGGCCAATGTAAGTTCCCCGCGGCATGAACCTGTTCAAACACCGGTTCGTTAAACAATATTGTTTTGGTCCCTGTTTTGAAGGGGCCCAAACACCCATGCAGATTCACATAAACATCCCAAACAAACTGGTTTAGACAAGCCTCCTTTTGTGAGACCCGTCACGGGGAGTTAAACCTGGGAAATTCAGCATTCACCTGGGGCACATGAAGTTGTTTGTTTGCTTGTAGGACATCACTCTGACCCTTTGTGTAATAAACAAGATCGGCCTGCATGACTACTTCGAATCATCATAGTAAAGACATGACCTTGATATCACAGAAAGTAGCCCTCTGTAAAACATGCCTTAGCCCTCGCAAAAGGGGCTCACAAAAGCGGGTTGAGTCACTCGATCATGGGACTTGGATGGACACCGGTGCAAGGAATGTTGGAGTCGCCCCAAGGCGCAACGGTCGAACCCCCACCACTGGCAAGGAATGGTCATGGGAGTTTTTTTTTTTTTTTCACGCGCGTTCATTCGTGTGTCTGTTCGTCTGTTGCCAGAAGATTTTTCGGGGGTTCATTCGAAGCTGCCGGAAGCCGAAATCAACCCATCCATCCATCCGTCCGTCCGTCCGTCCCTCCGTCCATCCCCATCCATCCAACCAATGCAACTCAATCCAGTTTGACCCAGCGCAGTCCAATGCATTTATCAATCAACCAAACAAAATCATGTATCCGATATTCCACCCAAGCAAGCACCCCCTCTCCTGAGAGTCCTATGAAAGGCTCACCGGCGTACCACAACTGGAGGGATGTACCTCATTGACATTTGCCGAAGGCACCAAGAGCGCGCGGGCAGCACCGTGCACCAGAAACACCGCAGGGATGCAGAGTAGGTGTGATAAGGAACTGATGGTGCACGACACAAGCATGGACTTGACCATCCGGCTGAACACCTGCAAGGACCACTCCTCGCAAGCGGAACAGCGCGGCGGTTGGCTTTTCTGCTTATGTAGTAAGATGACCATCCAGGCAGAATCTGTTGGCGACTCCTAAGAAATTATAATATGTCTTGACAGGTGAAGTGTGACACAAGCGGTGGTGCACAATCCAACATCGGCGTGGAATAGAAAATGAAAGGCATCGTAGTATTGTGGATTGCAAAGGGAGTGTCGCCACAAGAAGCTGAAAGGGCATAACACTTGAAGGTCATAGCAAATCGAACACGAGGCTAATCCCCTTAGAATCATGTAAGATGTGCCAGGCGGAGTCTGAAAATCACAGGCCGTGGGGAAGGTCCTCTTGGGATTATGATTGGTGTCCTTCTTAGGGTTCCATTTGAGGTTACTATTGATTGAGGTTTGGGGTTGCTCTTGGGATTCTTTGGGCATATCCCGGGACTCTTCTTAGAGACAATCGAGACAATGTAATTCTTCCTGGGCGTCTCCGTGTTGGACCTCGATTGCACATTTCACAAAGGGCCAAAGGGCAATATTCTTAAGGCAAAGCAACGTCGCTGTTGGCTCAAACAGCCTAAATGCCATGAGGGCAGTTTGGGGATTTGAGCCCCTGGTTGTTGGAATGCAAACCAACACGCATCTGCTGGCCACTCCTGAATCAATGCAAACGTGTGCTAGCAAGCTGTCGCCAGTGTTCCTTCTTGACCACATCCGAACCAAACGAAACCTGCAATAGGCAAAGTGGTTTTAGCCTGGCATGTGCGGTCCAGAAGCGCAATGCGTCTTTCTGTGGTCAGCGGTTTCCCTCTGCGACTGCTTGTTTTGTTGCTCATGTTGTTGTCCACACCATCTCCTGCGGATTTCTACACGTAGCTCACCACACATCGTGCTGGGCTGGCTCAACCGCCTACCACAAACAGGCTAGGAATACATCGGCTCTAAACATGCAAGGTGGATGGTCAAACAGCATTAGTGCCAATTTGCCAGTGGCGAGCGAGAGACTTACCTAAGAGGGCATCCCGATGCACCGGCAAAACCAGAACGAACCATCGACTGATCTGGCACGAACGGTACACGAGCCCAGTAGATGGGGAACATACAACAGCGGAAAAGCCGGAAAATTGGCAGGTTCTTTTCTGCCAAAAAATCGAATCTTGAAGGTGCTGACTGAATTAGCGGATGCCCATCCAGTATCTGAGCAGCCTGTTCACAGAACACAAAAGAATCAACCACTTTGTTTCACAACCATGAAACCCCAACGGACCCATTCTGGGAAGGCTTCCACGAGCGATCCGGGATCCGACACGACACCAACAATTCCAGGGGGTGAATTGGAGCTTTGGCATGTCTTGATTGGGAGCCCGCAACTGGTGAGTTGATCCTTGTCGCCGCTTGAAAGCCCACAACCAAACATGGGGGCTAACAAGTGACCAGCAATGATAACCACCCAAACCTAGATTTAGAGGCTTGACACCAATCAAGTCCGTCCGAAGAATGCGTTGACCACTCAAACGATCTGCCCAAAATGAAATAATGTACGGTAAACACCGATCCCATTTTCAATAGGGCCATGAAAGGAGACCAATCCAAGCTTCTACTAAAACAAGCTGTGATCATCATTTTGGAACCGTGACCCCACGTTGCCTGCTTCAAGGTACCACCGTAGTAGGTTTTCAGGTCCTTTTATTCCTCAAGTGTTTTAAATACTGGGTCCCTTCAAGGAAACCATCTCGGATGGGGTCCCCTTCAAGGAAACCAGAAGGAATGGATCGTGTATCTTGGGTTCCTTTCTCATTCCCTGCCTATCGAACCAGCAAGCTACTGATTGGGTAGCCCCTAGAACCACGTCCTTCTCCAGGCGTGCGAAGGACTTCTCGGGGGTGGGCACCTCCTTCAAGCACCGGGACACCCGCAGAAAGGCCCGAAGGGAGGTGACCAGAGTGCACAGCACCTGGGCGCTTGGGCGCTTGGGCGAGCTGGCTCGGGCTCTCTCGGGGAGGCTGTGGGCAAGAACAGCGGCACAACATGTGTTTTTTGCGTGAGTCAAAATATGAGAGGTTACTGGATTTCGCCTCCTGTTGCAATTGGGCACCCTGAGTGAGGATGCTACGTACAGGAGGTTGGCCGAACCTTGTTCGATTCGCCCCAAGAAGGCACCCCTTGATTGCTACCGTGGCCAAGCTCAAGCGACACTCTGATGGTTCATTTAAGCCAGGGGAAAACACACCCGTCCTCTCGAAGTAAACACCTCCGGTGCTATCAATGCTGTTAACTGCCAACAGTACGGGCAACAATGCACTCTGTTGGTTCTTCACTCATCTGTCCAGGGGAACCCACTGGGATAGAGAGGGAACACAGAGTCGCTGCTGGACCCACTGGGCAAGAGGGGCGTGCCACTTAGGATATCACGCGACGGGGGAGCGTCTGCGAAAACTATAAATTCAAACTGAGTTCGTTTAAGCCCCAAATCTAAGCTTGCGAGACACCGCAGCTGGACATTCACCCTTACCAAATGAGTCATTCCTCATGACATCATCACTTTGAATTCCCTCGGTCAGAAAAAAAGTCAAACCAAGCGAGACATGCGGTTGCCATATCCCTTCCCTTAGCACAGAACGTGGCTCTTGATTTGGTCAATACCTTTCATAAGGAACCCCCAAAGACATGTTTGGTGGATATCAATCTCCACCTAATTATGATGTCCACCAAAGGTCCCTAATGAAAATTCATGCCCTCTCGCTCACATCACGCCCACTCCCTATTGCCAGTGGCCCTATACCACGTCCCCGCTCTACCAGCCCCCCAAAGAACACCTGGGGCTCGCGGTTGATACTATGGATTAACATGGATCACCTAGTCTGTATCACCACAGGGCTAGCAGTAGGTAATCCTTAAGGCCAAATAAGTCCGTACCACGCCCGCCCGCAATCCTTGGGACAAGTTGCCCCAACTCCAGCCACCAAGTGGTATAACGCTGCGGCAAGCTGGATCACCAACGGCGACAGAACCTCAGAGAATTTATTTTCCCAAAAAATGACAGCACAAAACAAGCCCACGTGGTACTCCACAAAAACACATTTGAGTCTGTTATATATTTCATCTGCCCCAAAGTGCAGAATGGGTTTGGTGGAGACACCAGTCCAGGCACCCCAAAGGCTGCCGAACACCCCCCCCCCCCACCCGCAAAAAAAAAGAAGCACAATTCCGGGGGGGGGGGGGGGGGAGGGCATGTAACCGTTTGAGCATTTGGGGGTCCTGACCCTGGACGAGTTTTGCTCCGGGAAACACATGCAAACGGACACATGATAGACATGATGCATATACAATATAAATATGCATGTATATATATATATACTGTGAGATTATTTTTCGTCACGTGTGCCAAGCGGATTTTGCAGCTGAAAGCGCGCAAACCGCGAAACCGCGAAAACGCAAAAACCGGGAAACGCGAAAACCGTGAAACCGTGAAAACCGCAAACCGCAAAAACGGCGAAAACGGCGGCCGCCTACGGCTGCTCGGACACAGCTGGCTGACTGGCGGCCTATGTATCTATCTACCAAAGTAGTTGCAATAATATGATTCAATTACTGAGGCGCCTTCAAGTCGGAAGACAACATTTTGGAGACGCTGAAAGCTGCTGAGCCTGCACTCATGATGAAACGGGAGGCGACAGCGCGAAGATGACAAGACTAAACAATCACCAGCGCCCCGAGAAAAGCAAATCCACTGGCTGCACAAACCCGAGTCACAAAAACCAACTTGGCACTTGGCCGCTTGAACACTGTTTGCAAGTGCTGGAGGCCGGGAAGCTAGCTACAGAACCCCTCTCCACTAATTCGTTGCCGCTGGAGAGCTCTGTTTGCATTCTGAGCTCGTACAGCTTGCCGGCATGCTGTCAACTGTGCGAATCTTGTGCGTGACGTGCGCTGAGCAGTTTTTGCAGCCGAAAACGCGCAAACTGTGAAAACCGCGAAAACGCAAACACCGACGATAGCTGGCCGGCCGGCCACGCCTGCTCGGCCACGGCGGGCTGACTGGCGGCCGGACACTGGCCGTATCTAATCCTGATTTCTATCAATTTGTCGGCATCCAATTTATCTGATCCAGTTTAATCTAATCAAATTGAATATATCTATGTAACTGTCTATCTATCTACCTATCACCTACCTATCGTCATGGCTTACCATATCTTATCTTGTCCTATCCTCTCTTATCCCATGCTACCCTACCATGTCCCGTCTATGCCGATAGTATCCTATGTATCTATGTGAGATCGATCTGTTTATCTATCTGTCTACCAACCTACCTACCTATGCATCTATTTATCATATCTATCCTATCTTTGCTACTGTTCCGGTCTATCTAATCGTATCTATCAATCTATCTAATATGATCTATCTGATCTACCTGATCTATCCTGTGTCTCTTATCTATCTTATCTATTCTATCGCATCTACCACATCTAGCTTATCTACACTATGCTTAGTATGTATGTGATGTGTATATATGACAATATGTGCATACAAAACTTATGACCTATGTTCGTCAGGTCAAAGTGAGAAACAAAGTAGAAACACGAGTGCCAAATGAACGTCACAGGCTCCTGACAATATGCGCGGAACAAGTCGATGGTCAGTTGAAGTGTCAAGGCCACCCCTCGTATCCTCCGGATAGTACTGACGCCCATCTCCGTGCCAAAGCCTCGCGGCGGGAAAAAAACCTGCCCGATGGCATCACACAGGGCCTATCTGAGGCCGAATGGAGGTCCTGACCCCTTCAACGGAGGGTCCAATGATGCTTAGCGCCTAGGATGGGAGGTGTAAACTGTTCAAGGTGGGGGATCCTGAATCCATGATACGTAGAGGGACACAACAAGGGAAGCCGTCTGGCATAAGGGAGGATTGATTTGGAACAGCCCAGGTAAATGACGTAGATGTGTCATTGAAAGCTGGACGCTTTGGGATCCTCGCAAAAATCGGGCCTTTAGGGGGAGCATCCCTTCCCAGGTTCGAACGGTCCACACCTCCAAAAGATTCCGCTGAGATGTGGGTGATGTATAAATCGAAGAGGGGGGGGGGGCGGGGAAAGTTTGCTTTATGTACCGCTGCCAAAAAAAACGTCTACACTCTACAAACAGAAGTGACACATGTCCATCCCAATGTGTCCCTTTTGGCGAAATCAATCAGCATGGATTCTTCGGCACATGACAAAATGTGATGTGCTCAAAGCACATGCCCTGGTCGCAATATGTGGATTTGTGCCGTGGGTAAAAGGACTAAACCGCTGGGGCATCGGCCACAAAGAAAACTATCCCCGCGGACGGAACACGTCTCCCTGTTTCAACCAATTCTACCACAATACCACATTATCTAGATGAGCACCAGAATCCGGGTCTCGTTTTAAAGGGAAGCAAACGTGGAGTCTCCAAAACCCTCGAATGAGGCTTTGTACCAATGAGTCGGGGGGAAGCAACTTTGGGATCCGGTTGGCAAAGCAATCCGAAAAGGGCACCATCCAGCTTCAAAGGCGTTGAACCCATTTTGAGGCATGTCTTAGGGCATGGAAGAAGGAACACTTTCTCCGGGATTGATTCTATTCTCATGATACAATTACTTTCCGACTTTGAGGTCATGCTGTTGGCCACTGATGGAAAGTGGATCTAAGATCAACAATTTACCACAACCACGTAGTCTTGTCCATCCTAACCCAAACTCAGAAGATCCAGCTACCCCCTTCCGGTGACCAGGATTCTGCTGTTCCGTCATGTGAACCTCAAGTAGAGGAACCGGTCTTTTGGCCATGGTGCATGGAGAGCTTTCGAACACATGGCTGGCTCTAGTTCGCCTTGTCGGCTACCAAGCGGGCCCCTGATTTTGCGACAACCTAAGTGAGTGAGAGTCAACGCCTGGTATTCAGGGAGTTGACCCAAGGATATCCGCCACATCCGAGGGGCCCCGCTCCAACAAGGACAGCCGCTGCTGAAGTAGGTATGTGAAGTTAAACTCCAGGAAGGCGCAATTCACGCGGTGCAGCGTCACAGCTACAGTCTGAAAAGCGAGCGGCCCGGCGGCCGAGTCTTTTTTGCTGAGCAAAACCAATCCGGGGTTGAACAAGGGAAGCTGAACGGCGAAAAGTCAACCCCCCGTGTTGTTGTGAGGAGAGAGTTCTCTCATTTTAGAGACAAAGCAATGTGTCCACAATGGTTCTTGAGTTGTCCACCTGAGTATCCAAATGGTGATTTTGTTTTCACGCAAAAAGACATGCTTGTTTAAGGCCAAATAAAATTGTAGCAAGAAGCCTGTTGTGGCGTGTTAGAGCCCAAGCCCCTTGGTACCTTTTTGTTAGGGGATGGTCCAACCCAAACCTCCTGCATTGGTGGCAGTGTCATACTCTTGCGTTTTTTGGGCACCCATGTTAGGGTTGTTTACACCTGGAAACAAACAAGCAGGAAGCGGCCATGTGGAACTGGTTTCATAGGTCGCCTTCGAACGCCTCCGCTCCCAAACCGGGACCAGGTTGGGGGAACTTTAGATGAGACAGTTTGGTGGATATCACTAGGCACCAACCAGTCTTCAAACAGTTCCCAGTTGGCATCAATAGCCAAAAGAGCCAGAAAACCCTGTCCTGTGCCGTCTTCGGCAGGTCACGCAGGATGGTAAGCTGGTGAAAAGCGCCCAGCAGCCAATAAGACCAACCTGTCATGATGAAGACCTGAAGCTCAAAGATGATCCTTGGCCAGCCAAATTCCGAAGCCGAAATTTGAGTGCCCGTGTCTGGATTTTTTGCTCAAGGGCACCAACACGGTGGTGCTGTTTAGACTTTCCACTTAACATTAAAGTCAAACCGAGAAACACCATCATGTCAAACTCAGAAAAACTCTGTCCAAGGGGTGGCAAAAGGAGCACCCCTAGACAGGGCAGGTCTAATAAAAATCCGCACCTTGATGCGTTCCATTTGTCTAACGTGCCACAAGTAATTACATATGTAGCATTCATGACCACATATATGGCATTCATGACCACTTCCCTGATAAGCCAGTGGTCAAAAAATACGTTTTGCTGTCTGATTTGTTTACTTGTCTGGCTATAAGCTATTCTACTTTGTTCGTTGTCTTCCCTGGGGGCAAGTACACAAGTAAAACAGCCAGAACTAAGAAACGCTTTACCTTATGCAGGCTGTACTTTGACTTGACTTGTGTCATATTGCTGGCTCTACGAGACGGAAAACCTCGTTTTGGTTCCTTTGTTCTGTAGTCTATTTTCGTAGGGGAACCCTCCCCAAAAAAGGATAAAAGGGCACTACTGGGGGACCTAGAGGTATTTTCACCTCTAGGTTTTACAACGACTCTGTCCCCTGGTCACCTCCTATGGTAAGTGAAAGCACGCACTTCTGCCGGCAATGGCTCAAGGATGCAGCTGTGTCGATGCTTCTCCAGCGGTAGTACAGCACAAGGCAAAGAGTAGCATGGCAAGCTGCCAACGTCTGATATCCAAAGAAAATACTTCTAGTCATGCTATCGGAATCCTCCTCCAGCCCGAACGCCGCACATATCAGGAACACCTGCGCACGGCATGTAGACAGGGTGGAACAGGGTGGAACAGGGTGGAATAGGGTGGAACAGGGTGGAACAGGGTGGAACAGGGTGGAACAGGGTGGAACAGGGTGGAGCAGGGTGGAACAGGGTGGAACAGGGTGGTCCTTTCCACGTGAAGTAAACTGCAAATAGCATGCAAAGTTTCATTTCAAGTAAGGTGATTAACGCCACGATGGTACGAATCAACAACGCAAAGGCAGGAGCCTCAGGGTCACACCACAGCAAACCCAGCCCCATCCGCCCCATCACGGAGTCGACACCTGCCTGCATGAGGATCAGGGCTGCGCATGCCGTATACAAGCACGGAGCAGAACATCTCGGCCGCCTTCCAGACTCAGACGCCGGATTCGCTTTGGAATCACAAGATTCGGAGCCGGTTTTCGAATCGCAGGATTCGCAGCTCACGCTGTTCAAATACATGGTGAGATATGGTGAGACACGAGGCCCGACTCGTGAGCCAGAGCTTGCATTGTCGGCGGCAGGGTGACACACATGAGTTGTCCAGAGCGGCACCCTTGAAAAGGTTGGATTTTGCATGGAATGAGCGCAGCACATCCACACAAAACGCAGGAATTCGAGGTCCTGTGCAGCTGAAGTTCTTAAAGTATAGTCGTCAACAAAGACCATCGCGAGAGTCTAGGAGAGAATCCCAGAACTTGAACAGTGTCAGCGCTTCAATTTTGGCGCTAGCCACCACGAAAGGCAGACAAGTAGAATTTCAAAGTTTACGAGCTTTGTTTTGGACAAGGTCATAATGGCAAACATTGGAGAAGGCCTGCAACTGGGTTTCAAGCAACTCGTGGCCTTAGGCAAACCCGCAGGAGGTAATGAGTGTAACAGGAAGAGCAGTGGCACTCTGCCCTGATTGGGTCAAAGTCAGCCACTGGCATTTAAGGACTTGCAGAACTACGCAAACAACCTAACGGGAAGCCGCATTGATTTGTAGGTAGAGAAACCAGAATTCATGTAAGGCCCAAAAGCAACACACACTGCATACCTACTATGGAGGTGCTCACGCCGATTGCTTGGGAATGAAGGCCCCATCGCAAATTATGCCTTGAGTAGCGATCCGAAAAGTGGAATCTGGAAGGAAGGAAGCTTCATCACGAGCAAGTTCGTTCCCAAACTAAGTAAGCTTGCCAAAATGTGCCCAGAGCTGGTGTTTCCGTCTGACTCACCAGAATCCCACCGCAGAGAAGTGCAAATTCTGGCATCACTGGCAGCCCAAGACCTTTTCCACCCGCGAGAAATTACCTCTTGTAATGCCAACATGAGATGCCCATCCCTTGGCTTGATCACAAAGGCGGATTATCTAGGTACTGTGGATGGGCACACTCCACTTCCCACCACTTGAGATGGGTCAAACCCGATTATCCCAACTGCCGCTAGGGGCCCAAAGCTTCGTGACCTGGCGCATGCTAGTTGAGGGGTAGGTAGGGTCGAGATAATTGCAACGGAGCTGTAGTGGACTTTAAAACCAACTCATGATACAATACTGTGTAAGACTGTAGAATTGGTTAACCCCTTACATTTTGATGGCCCTCGGGCTCAATTTGAGTTGGGTTCTCGTTGTTTCTCCTTACCTTCCAAGAATGGGCTAGTTTCTGCAAAGTCGATGCAGCTGCCCCCCAGAATCTTCCATGCCGACTGGACCAAGAGCAGCAACCACACCGCGAACTCGGCACGTGCGAAAGCTCCCCACTTTCCAAAAACCCATCGGCCCCGGATGAAACCAAACGCTCGGGCTACGTCAGCCGAGTCTGCGGCATTCAGCCTTGGTAAAGTAGAAGGGGTCGAACCTCGGACAGGGATGAGCAGACCATTTTTGGAACACGTAGCAAACAAAGCCAAAGCAGCGTAAAGCAAACGTAAGAACAACACCACAAAAAGACATTGCCACTGGAGTTGAACACGATCCTGTCTTACGCTGATCTTGCCTAAAAGATTCATATGAAAACAGGTGTAATTCAATTCATTTGCTGCAAGGAGGTTCTCATGGAAGCCACTGGTCAAACTCGTTCACTGTCTGAATATGTTGTCCCTCTCGTTCGCCCTATTGACCCCTCCTGTGGCCTGTTTTGGTGTCCTAAACTGGATGCCGCCATGGGGATTCACAAAGGAACCCATATTATGGCAGAATTCAAAGGGAAGCCCCGCCAAACAAGGCTCCCAATATCTTCTCTTTAAACATCGAAACACCCCACCAAAAAACAGGAAACTCATTCTTTGAATTGGCCCACGAGGTGATGTTTCAAAACCAAAAGGGGAATATGTATATATATATATATGAACTCCCGAGAAAGCACCACCGGAGGAGCGCAAGCAAGCAGCATGCAGTCCTCAGCATCGTCGCAGCAGCGCTCCGGCGTCAGCTTCTCTGTCCAGCCTCAGGTCCGAAGGACCTGGAAATCCACTGGCGCTCCGTGAATGAGAAATGGAATGAACCCAGGCATTCCCGAAAAGAATCCCCCAATTGGAGGGTTTATAAAAGTCATTCCCTCACTCCCTGAGCACCAGCAAGTCAAAGGCAAACCTTCCAAACTGATTGCCAACTATGGAAAACCGTCTCCCTTTTCAAGACACACCCAATGGGAAAACGAGACAGCTTCAGCTTGCACAGGAGCCAATCATGACATCCGATTCCCCCCCCGCCCCCCCGGTTTTGCAGGCCGAGTCACAGTACTGCCTGGCCTGAGCCACTCAAGGCAAGAAGCTAACTAAAAGGGTGAAGGGCATTGCCAGCTGGCCACGGAATCAGCGATTTGCTTGCGCGGAGCGGGAAAGGGAAAGCAACAGAAAGCTTCCATTTTAAGCGGCCTGCGTTTGAGCACACACCCTACCTGTTCAGTATTGTGATGTGAAGGGTGCAAACAGTCCCAGAAACATGAAATCTGCCAAAAGCCGCGGGTGCCTTATCAGCTCTTCATTCAAGCTCCAGGTTTGCCTTGGGCAATGCAGACCAAGGCCTTGTTGCCTCAAAACTTGAATTCCCTAGGTTCAACGTGTAACACACGTATGGCCACGGGTGTAACCTCAAATTCCCTGCTGATCAATGCTTCAACTGGTGCTGTTCTTCTTTCAAACTGGCATGCAGATATGTATATATATATATATATATTCTGTAGGATGAAAGGGCAGAACAGGAAAGACTCTCCTGTCTTGCCTGAGCCGCATGACTGGCGCATGTGTGCGTGTGTGTGTGAGAGAGAGAGAGAAACATCTACAATCCTTCCAAAAAAAATCCTCACCAATCAACGGGCTTTGGCTCCTTTCCTGTAGCTTGCTCGCGTGCTGTACTTTGATCTGACCGGCGTCTCTGGGCCTTCCATTGGCATGCGGTTTGTTTCGCGGCCAATGGACACACTCTACAACTCAACCCGGCAGGAAATCCGCCAGGCAACTCTTGGGGCATCGAGCTTTGGTCAGCTGATTTGCTTTCTCGAAACTGGAGACCTCAAAGAACTCCGCGTAGCTAGGCTCCCACCATGTAAGTGGAGCGACGCTTTTGAGGCGCTTCCTAAACCGAACTGTTTACTTTCATGGTAGGAAGGAGGGTGCCTGCCTGGTGAGGTTGCGTTGATGCGCCCGAATTGAGGGTCTTGAGTTTGCATTCTTCCCAAGCAGCACCCTTTGGAAGGTCTATGGTCGATGCTCGCCCAAGCGTGTTCCTAGCGGACCGGGATCCAGATCGACCTCCGCGAAGTTGTTGTCAAAGTCACTGCTACAAGGAAGCCGAAACCAAATTGGCGAGTTACCCACCCAGTTCAACATTGCTGACTCGCAGGTGGATGGGGAAGGCACGCCATCCATGTTCGCCGAAATCTGGCTAGCCCGTGCCTCAAAGGAACAACTGTTTCCAACGGAGCGGAAAGCTGAAGAGCCAGTTCCCCCTGGTCAAAAGCCGACAAGAGCCATGGCAGGCAAGTCCTGATGAAAAGCAATGATCACAATGCTCTTGAACAACAGCCATCGTTGTCCAAACTATGACCTCTCCTCAGCTAGGGGGTGTACTGACCATGGCTCACTCCTCGGCGCTTCATCCTCAGGTACATGATGAGCTGGAACAGGCGCCTTCAAAAGTCTCCTACAAACAACTCCCCACCCCCAAGCCATCGTGTTTGGAGGAAGCTCCTCTTGCGGGAACCCTTTCTTGGGCTCCATGTTGATTTGCGAGGTCGTAGAATCCGGATCACTCAGGACTCGCAGCCGAAGTCGCCGGAGCGAAGGGCACGGCAAGCGCACGGCTCAGCAAAGCCCATGGCGCAACATCGAGCCGCATGGGCGCAAAGACATGCGTCACATGCGCCGCAAACCCACATGTTGATTCTACGCACATGCTTGGGCTTTTATCAGTAAAAGCCATGAAACCAAGAAGAACCACCTAAAATGGTCGAGGGCTCTGCTCACGCTTGCCACAAGCAAACATCGTGACTATATGTGTTTCGTGAACGCGCAATTGGGGCAATCTATAGTTTATCTTTTGGGCCATCTATTTCAATAGAGGGTGAAGCCCAATATGGACTGTTGTCAGATGCTGCTTGGGGACAGGCAAGCCGGTGAACATATGGCGATGCCACGTGTTTTGCTTGGAACTGGACATTTGCGGACGGCGATGCGGCGATTCGGACGAAGTTCCGCTCTCTTCTCCCTGAGGCACAGGAATCAACAGTGGAGCAACCCTACTGCGGATGGACGAAATCCATTTCGCACCACCGTTGAATGATTCGATTCCCCAACCAAATATCAACAAACCATGGATTTCCATGGTTTCAAAGTGGTGCAGAATTTTGTCCATCCACAGTACCATTTGTGCCATCAAAAAGATTCTCCCCAAAAGGGTCACCTCGTGTCAATGAATCTTGGCGAGGGCCATGCCTGCAGCATGACGAAAACTTCATCACAGCCAAGCCCGCAGCGTTGTCAGGAAAGCGAACTGTTTGAGGCAACAATCCCAATTTGGGCAAACCTTCTCTGCTCAGACTCAACGATTCTCCGACTGACAGTGAAAAAACTTCACTGCTAGTTTTATCTGCATAGGTGGACCAGAATTGGCCTCGAGAGAAGGCTTGTATGAGTCTGCCATTGACGGAAACTTACATAAGCCATTTGTAGATTTTCGTGCAACCCCTGCCCCAGCTCACGAAAGTGCAGGCAAAGATCCTATCCGGGACAAACAGGCCGGTCATTCGAGACACCGGACTCCTTGCTCGCCTCGGCGTCACAAATCAAGGCGCACCGACGAGGAAAACCCAGAGGCAAAACAAACAAAGCAACTAAAAAGGCAAAAGCGACCGAAAGGCTACGGCAAATCAAAAGCACAAAACCTGATGGATTATCCTACGTAAAAAATGGATTGTGCCCCCGTTACATGGAAGCCCGTGGGCCAATTGGAAGCTGCCTGCGGACCAAGCGGACCAACAGGTAGAGCTGACCAAATGGCACCAGGGTGAGCCCTTTATCATTGTTTGAGGCTGGACAAGCCTGTCACACCTCCACACCTTAGGGGCAACAAATGATCAAACATCGGGGTGTTTGTAACCTCAGTGTAGTGCCACTTTTGCTGAGTTGTGAAAATTGAACCAGAAGGTGATGTCTGGAGCCACTGCTTAGAAGAGCTAGATTTGCAGCCAGGCCTTCTGTCCTCAGCCCCCGGGCAGGCCGCAGCGAGGAGCGTTCCATCAAGCACTTCATGTCCCGCACCTACGGCGTTTTACCCCCCCATGGCATATGTCATATCTGTAAAGGTATCAGAAGGCCAGAGAGAATTGGGGCTGTCCCCTTTCCGGACCCTGGTGCCGACATGCCGCCTGTTCAAGGTACCAAAAGAGGCCGCAAAATTCTGCCAACCCGCCCATAAGCTAAGGGACAGGGTCTTTTTGGGACCTGGCTCAGGCCCTCACAGTGCCTCACAGGTTCTAGAGCCGCAAAAAACATTTCTGGGCAGTTGAGTCTAAAACCAAACCCACGCCAAACACATCCAAGGGGCTCTGTCAATCTTAGAGCAGGCACAGCACAACCCATTCGTGGCATGCTCTAAATCCATGTTTCCAAAGGCGATTTAGCCGGACGGACACACCGGCTCACTCGACACCGGTGCTGTGTACCGCTGCGCCTGGGACAAGTAGCCGCTGGTGGCAGGCTCTGCTCCTGTCGAATGCCGGGCGGTCGCGCGTGCCAGGCCGGACGTTGCTTTGGGCAGAATCAAGGACAACCTCTAACTTGCTTAGGAAACCAGTGTTCAACAAAAGTCAAATGTGGGATGGGGTTCCCAATTTGAGGCCATACCCAACTTGGCGCCTGCAGCAGCAAACACAAATCTTACGTTATACCCCTGAGGGAAGGGATCCGGTCCAAGGTAAATCGAGTACATGCTGTCTAGGATTGCTGCACTCGTTCCGGCATTGGTTTGCCATTTGGCATGTCAGGGCTCTCTATCCAAATAGTAATTTGCAATTCGCCTCATGCAAAGGGTAGGGGCGGGCGTGGGGAGGGGGGGGCTGCGTATGAAAATGATAGACAGAAAGGCGAAACAGCCATCAAGTAAAGTCAGCTCATGACATGTCTCCGTCCCGTCACTGTGCTTCAAGGCTCCTTTTTTCTTCTCCTCCTTCTCGTAGAGACTGCCCCGCCTCAGGTGGCGCAAACACCCCCTGTGAAACCTGCAGGATGCAAAAGGTCAGAGTACATTTTCCCGGGTCATCGCTGGTTTCAGCCTGAGCCTTTCAGCAAAGTTGAAAGAAAGCGAGTGTCTCTGGCTTCACGGCGTTTGAACGCCCAAAAGAGGCAGCCAATGTGACCCCTGGGTCACTTCAACGAGCAAAGAATTTGCCTAAAAAAGCCTGGCTAGTGCCACCGGGTCCAAAAACGCCACGCTCCGTTCCACTCCCCTTTTGATGGTGTTTAAAGGACGGCAAATAAACTATGTATAATGGACCTAAAAAGGAACAAACAAGTTGAAACCCTAACACGTGCGCAAGGGATGGTTGGGAGCTAACTTTGATTCACATCGCCCATGATATCGTGTAGCTCCATTCGCGGTGTTTTTTTGGGGGAAGCAATAAAAGCAGTGATAGTTGGAACATGTCACCCAACTGATCGAACAGCACAATCCACTAGTGGTTTCCCTCAAGCGAACTTCAGCATACGTATGAGTCATGGTCAAAATATGCTGTGACCTCGCCGATCTGAAACATTCAGCAAGCTTCCAAGTTTCTCCAAAATCAACAGCCTGGGTTATTCATTGGAAATCAAACACTCACAATACTTGGCCGACGTTGGGGGTACACCAAAAAACATATTGTGTGATTATGTTTCATGCTTGATTTCCCCTGATACTAACAGAACCCCAAGTTTGATACCAACAGAAAAACATGTACCGTGGCAGGGTCTTGCATATGCCTTGCAGCGATCGTTGCAAGAGTTGCAGTAAAGTTGCCAATGATTGATTGCCAATTGCTATTGGGGAATCTGGCTGGGCTAATTTACCGCTATACAAGAATTCCAACACCTGAAATAAGAATTGGACCCCAAAGAAACACTTCCATTTGCTTAAGCCCCCAGAAAAAGAAAAAAAAAGACACATATTGCCAGTAGTATCTAGTCATCAATTCCCTTTAAAACTAACAGGGTAAAAGAAACAAACTTCATTTCAGAAAGCCAAAGTACGAGACCTACCAAAAAGAGTCTCCCTCGCTTGGACTTGTTTGCTGAGCTGTCCGGCTTGGAGCCACGGCCCCCTGAGACTGAAAACCGGCGCTTGGATTCCCCTTGGCTCTCCGATCGAGTGGACATTGGATGGCCCAAACCAAAAGAGGCCAAACTGTTTGTTTACCACTAAAATGCGGTCTTCCCAAAAAGAGCAATTAGAGTTCAGCAACTCAGGAAGTGAGCTGGTTTCCCAAGAAAAAAAACACAACACACTGGGTATCCTCGAAAACCCAAATAGAAAACCCAAACGTCAAAACAACGATTTGCTTTGAACTGAGATGAACCCGACGGAATCAGCTGCCAACGAAGCAAGAGGAACCTGAGTGAAGATGTGATGTGCAGAGCAGTCTGCTTACAGATTGATCAAACATCATGTGCCATGTGCGCCCTTTTGTCTTCACTTCCCCTGCGACTTTGGTCTGCCCTCCCAAAGCACAAATTAAACCTGAAGCATGTCTTCTTTTGGGAGGTCAGGTGTCCTGCGTTCCTTCCCGACACAAATGAGACAAACACAAGTCTAAAGCAGTTGTTGCTTCCATGAGGCAGTTAGTTCAAAGTGGCCCTTCGCCTCCCCTAGCAACACCCCCTATAAGATCAAGGGGCGCAGTTCCACTAACTGAGGTCTCCGCTCTGCTTGAGGCAACACTGACAACTGCAACTGTTCCGGTCATGGCCATTTTCCTTCAAAACCAACTGGGCAAACAGGCTGTGGATGGACGAACTCCTGCACCACCTACGAATCCATTGCCCTGTAAATGCCGCCAAACAATGGCTTAAACCGTGGATTCAAAGAGGTGTGAAATCCATTATGCAACCAACTGCTGCATAACAAAATCATCCCTTGTCTCGCACGATTGTGCATCCGGGCCAAGCAAAAGCCCACTGTCCGTACTCTGGTTGCTTCTTTCAATGACTCCTCAAAGGACCTTCCCTTTGTAGGCCCGCTGAATGTAGGTCCTTCGCAGCTACGTTGGCCCAAAAGACTCGACCAAAGCCAGATTTGGCAGACTTGGGCCCCCAGAAACCGAATTACCCGGCTGGAAACGGCAGGCGCGGATTAGCACCACTCACAGCCGCGTGCATTATCCTCAGGAATCCGACATCTTCAGGTGGGGGCCACACCAAACTCAGGGTTTCTGTGGTTCCATGTCCCCCAAGGCGGCACAACCGCTTCTTTCAGCAATGACCGGATCCCATTGGCGCAGGGATGGGGAGAAACCTTGGCCCACATGAGCAACCAGGCCCTCGCTCTCACTCAGGCGCCCGGACGGGAGAGCTGCGGGAGGCTCACGGACTCCTCCTGGTCTTGGTGTGGGCATTTTGTTCCAGGCATGCTGCGCTGCTGGGTTTGCTTCTTCCAGGTATCAGGTATCTTGGCGGTTTTTTTCCAGTTTTTCCCTGTCATTCTGGATGCTCGTGCATTCACAAGTCAGTCCCATTGAGTATATGTATCCATTGAGGATCTGAAGTATAATTATTACCGTATCATATGAACCATGAACCCATCTCAGAGTCCAATTGGTATCCATCGCAGAGTATGGTTTCGTCGAATGAGTACCTCTCTCACCCATGCTTGTATTTTCCATGGAGATGTGGGGAAGGATAGGATGTTGGCCTGCCTTCCGACTGAGTGGATTGGCCAAACAAAGGCCAACAACGAAGTGAAGTCCAGAAGCAGGGAAGTGGCATCTGTGGCAACGAAATGTAGAATAAACACAATGGAACCATAGAAAGGCTCCTGCAAACACCAGTCCCTTCAAGATGGGAAACCACCATGTACCAACTAAAGGCCACCGATCTGGTCGGGGATGGGTTTGCAAAAGCCAAGGCCGGTCATGGAAAGCCGCGTCACATTGCGGCACTTCCAAAAGGGCCGCAGAATATGTGTCCCTTACTGCCACCCCAAAGTGGTGAATTGGGATTCCCACGCGATCACTACGGGATCACAATCAATACAATCATGACTGTCGTCAAATAAATCACCACAAATCCTCATGATGCAAACGGCACACAACATCCTGTCATTGAGTCATGTGTTTCTGTTTCAACCGTCAGCAACACGTGTGTTGTTCCAGGACATACCAATCAGTCTGGGAAATTCAAAAGACACCGACAAGTTGTTGTGGGTATCCTTAGGTTCCTCTCACACTAGCCTTCGACAAACCCAACTAGCCTTCGACACACGAAAGGTGCAGAAGAAGCCCCTGATTGTTTCGCAAATTCTTGAAGTTTAATGTGGAACCCTGCAAAAGATGCTTGCAAAGGGAACTTGTGTTTCAAATTTGGCCAGGTTCACGATCCTCTGTGTTTGGGCGTGTGACAGAGGGTGGCAGGAATCCTCATGCCAAAAGGGTCGACTCTCCAAGCCCAATGCTCTTCCAATTGTTCCCGAAACCATGGCAACAGCAATCTGAACGGCCATTCTTCGCGAATAAAAAAGTTACTTTCGCGAATCTTTCGCGGATTCATCGCCGTGCCCTTTTCATTGCTCAATTCAGAAAACCGCAGCATTTAAGTGCCAGCGTAGTGCGCGAAATTCGATTCCCCGACTCCAGCTGCAAAGTCGCAGCTTTTCATCACAAGGGTAGTACATGACATGCACCGGCTGGAAAGACGCAGCTTTTCGTTTGCCGTGCAGCTCCAGCTTGAAGTCTCAACTGTCCAGTACCAAGCTAGTAGACTGACTAGCGCGGCGCTCAGAAAGTACCTCCCCTTACAATCGAAGCCTGCGCTTTCGCGCGGGCTTTCGTGGGTCTTTCGCGGAACTTTCGCGAAAAATCACTCGTTTCAGAGCGGAAAGCCACCGACTGAACACCCACAGGCACACATACACAGGCTGGGGGCACGAACCAGCCAAGCAGGGTATCAAGCTGTGGCCTCACCAGGCTTTATCAGCGCAAAATCAACTTTAATCAGCTTAGAAGGAAGGCTCACCAGCAAAGATGAATGGTTTCACATACCATTGATTTGCAAGACACAGTTACGCAAAACGTTCGCGAGAAAAAAAAAAAAAAAAAAAACTTTCGCAACTCCATCGCGAATCTTTCGCGGAGCTACCTCAACCAACACCGATGGTCACCGAATACTAAACTCCAAAACAAGGACCTTTAGAA